GTTCTTAACTCCTGCTATAACTGAGGCAATTGCATGTGTAGATAGAACCAACAGCTAGACGTTAATTTTTGGGATGCGGTTTACACATGCAGGAGCTCATTTAGGCTCAAGCTTTAATCATGTCCACCGACAAACAGAGCACTAATACCTCCACACATATACAAGACGTGTTGCCTGTGAACGTCACATTAAAGCCGCTGTTGCTGTAGTGTGTGTACGTATCCTGCTGATGAAGTTCGGGATGTCGCCCAGTGGTATGTGACGTAATCTAACAATCAATCAATTTAAATGTATTACAAGAGCGGTGGATTCTTTATTTTCTCCCATATCGAGCCATCGTTACACAAGAAAACAAAGTATTTTACAATCAGGGCAAAATCAATGTTTTTCCTCAAACAATTCCTCAGCGTTCTGTTTTGTTTGTTTTTTATGTGCGTTGAAACCAAACAGTGACTGGCAGTATGTCAAACGGAGAGGCGATGGCTTGAATCAAACAGTTACAGCAACATGAGCCCGCGTCATGGGAACAGTTTGGAATTATCAAAAGCCTTTCTTCACGTCCGTAAACCTAAGAACATAACAATATAAACGTCATAAAAACATAATGACTAAATCTATATGTGTCATAAACTGAACTCCAAGGAATAGATCAGACAAAACACGGTCCAGACTGAATACATAATTAAGGTCCAGCACACATACACTGCAATAATTCATCTGTCTTTCTTGTCTTCTGTTTACACGCAAAAATCGAATCTGGTCAGTTATCTGAAAGCTGCATTGAGCTGGTCATGTTTGGATAGTCTTGTTGAAAGGAAGTTTCCGTTAGAAATTGAATACATATATATGGTTACCATGGGCAGTTTGCATAAAGACCATGAACAACATGGCGGCGGACGTACAGAGTGCCGAAACAAACAACAAAGTTGCTATCTTTGCCAACAACAGTAGCCGAAACGATGATTACCTTCTATCGCACGAGTTGCCAAGAGTTCCAGGGTAGCACGGTTTTCGTACAGAGTTGCGTGCCTTTGACGCACCAGTAATCAGTGATCACTGAGCCCAGATTCATGCTAAACATGTTTCCAGGTTTTCTAACACTTTACCCATGTTTGTGAATGTTTCAGCAAAGCTGTCAACATCTAAGACCATCATCATTTTGACCTAAAGTTCGAACCGGCATTGTTCAACGCTCACTTGTTCTTATCTAACTGAATACCTCTGATTAGTATATAAGGTCACAGTTGGGAAGTCTTCTATGTTATTCCCTGTTACATAAACCACTACCTATAGTGATAAAACAATTCATTCGTCGATTTAAATGTGCATTCGGCACCGTGTTCTACATGGTCGCATTTTCACGTAATCGGTTACGTTTTCACTGCAACTGGGGGCGTACTTGAACATGTTCTGATCTCATTTGAACAGCAAAGGATTCACAGGCATTTCAAACCAACATACTTCCATCATGTTTCAGATTACTTAATGTGTATGCAGTACGTTCCGAGAGTTATTTTGATGAGCATAATGGAAAACGAGATAGCTATGAATATGAGGAGAAACTAAATATTTTTACTAATATCAACAGATTCAATCATGACTGAATGTGAGACCGGAGGGTAAATTGAAATAGTCACTGTTGATGTCTTGGCAGGTGCTCATTGCAGTTAGCAAAATATATTTCACAATCCCAGGCAAAACAACTGGCATTAAAACAATGCTTAAAATTATACGGAATTAAAAATTACCGACATTGCGGTTCGACAAGTGCACAAAAACGTAATTAGTGTCCCTAAATATCGTGTTGAATTACAAGACGTACTGTAGTATTGTAAAGACGTTTTAAAACTTTTAAATCTTGTCACCTGAGGGAAATCAAATATTCCGATGAATAAAATTGGTTGCTTGGTAACAAGACGGTAGATTCTAACCGTTAACAGTTTCAAATTTCCCAATGTGTACAGAAACACATTAGCCATCTGTGATTGAGGCTTAGACACCGAGTTAAACTCTAACACATCGATCAGTGAGGATGGAAGAAGGTCTTTAAAGATGATATTGATTATATTTGTAGACCCAGTTCCGTGTTAAGAGTTCAGTATTTGTTGTACTGTCCTGGTTAATTACATTGGCATGGGCATGTTTTCGTTAATTATGTTTCCATATTTGTCGCATCTGCGAGGAATGTGACAAAAGTCAACCGCAGTTCCCTATTTCGTTCAATATTGTGCAGAGATTCGTCCGTAGTCGGACCTCTGTGACTGTTTGCAATATTGTGTGAGAGATATTGTAGACGCACTATTGTGCAGAGATTCATCTTTAGACGCACCACTGTCATAATGCCCGTGCAATATTGTGCAGAGATTCATCTTTAGTCGGACCTCTGTCATAATGTCAGTACAATATTGTGCAGACTCATCTTTAGTCGGACCTCTGTCATAATGTACATATATATTGTGCAGATATTCATCTTTAGTCGGACCTCTGTCATAATGTACGTACAATATTGTGCAGAGATTCATCTTTAGTCGGACCTCTGTCATAATGTCAGTACAATATTGTGCAGAGATCCATCTATAGTCGGACATCTGTCATAATGTCAGTACAATATTGTGCAGAGATTCATCAGACGGACCTCTGTCATAATGTCCGTACAATATTGTGCAGAGATTCATCTTTAGTCGGACCTCTGTCATAATGTACGTACAATATTGTGCAGAGATTCATCTTTAGTCGGACCTCTGTCATAATGTACGTACAATATTGTGCAGAGATCAATCCTTAGTCGCACTACTTTCGCAATGTCCGTACAATATTTTGCAGAGATTCGTTCTTAGACGCACCACGATCTAGACTCACTTGATGTTGGTTCCTATTCTTATACTCTTAGGTTCCTTAAATGTGCTAAACATCGATGCCCTTCGTCTGTTTGGGCCAGCGTGGTGAAGCTAGAACAGTGTGCAAAGCAGCAGTAAACTCATCTCACTCGTTAACTGTTAAATATTCCTCAGAATAATATAATACGGAATGAAGATTAGCAATTTGTTTATGTATTATACTTGATACAAGTATTTGAAGGATACACGGGTGACCCTGCTGTTTGCACAGTTGCCTCCCTTATGCACTCCAAACGCCCAGGGTGGACAAAACAACCTTAGTGTTAAGACAGTCGTACGTCTGTGTTGTGGTATAGGAGTTACGCTAACCTGATCCCTGCATCACTATGGGAGTTTCCCGGCATGAGTAACCAAAGCAAACTCACTCACTCGCTCATCTTGATAACTATCGACAAGTCATGCTCATCAGCTAATGTTCAATTTGATAACTATCGACAAGGTATATTTCATCTAATTTTACAGCTACATGCAAATCACTCACTCCAACCGTCACGTGATATAATATATTTCCAAACACACAATCAAATCCACCTTGACTTCTTTGATGCAAGCACTGTGATAATACATATGATGTCAGGTAAGGTTTATTTCAGCACATGACTGATGAGAAACGTGATTCGATACCAAGATCAATAATAGAAACTCATAATTAATAATCTATATTACCTGATATACCCTGCGAAAGAAATAAACACAATACCAAAACCCATCATCTGTCACTCGCATGACAAATATAATCTCTTACGTCAAGGCATGTACGTATTTATGGTATTTAATTATAGGAACAGATAGCAGGACCGAGTAAAATAAGGATACGATGCTGATAGAGTGAACGTCATGATAATGGACAAACACAACATATCATTCAGTAGTTTCTCTACCCAACCTATATACATTGTCACGTGGACGATTGTCTCAGCAACAGGGCGTGTCTGTGTGCACATCCGTTATCGTAGCGCCGATCGATTATCAGGACAAAAGCTACCACATGCCATGAATGTTCGCTTGAAGATGTCTGAAAGTACTTTTTTGTGTTCAGTGCGCAACCTGCGGAAATGTTTTCACGACATATTCCAAGTTAACATGATCCAATCTATTGTTGATGTGAAGCGATTGTGAGAATCACTGACTGATGTTTGGCGTTTCACGAATTAAATACCACATTATAATGTATCTCTTGTAGCTGGCGTTTGCAGAGAAATGTAAGACTTGCTGCAAATGACTGTCTGAATTTACCTGTTGGAATTATCTAAATGGAACGTTGATGAAATTTCGAAATGGGGGAAATAAATATCATCTTTCGTGGTAGCAGTCATGAAATCTTTGGATCATGAGTTCGAGTTCCAAATTCGACTAAATAATGATCATTTGATTTCAAGCATCATAGCTGCGTAATTTGCTTTCAATGGAGAGGTGAATGTCTACACAACGGGACACTTTCTTTTCAGAATATATTGACATACCGTGCTATAATTGAAATATTGTCCGAAGAAGCGACAGATTCACTCACTCACTCACTCACAACGCCACTTAATCCTAGGTAATCCTAGGTGTATTCATTCGGGCACCTTGGTAACATGAAAAGAAACAGTACAAACCACTCATTGACAAGTTGAACATTTGATCCGAAAGTGATCTAGATTTATAAATAATGTCAAGTTACCTTATGAATTCAGCAAAAGAAAGAAGATTGTTTGAATGAGATACATGTAATGTGCAATGAACGAGTTCGCAGTCTATTAGGACGAACTGATTGATAATGTCAAACGAGTTATATATATGCATAGGTAACACCGGGTGTTCATTTATACGAGTGGCCTTGTTCAACCTATTTTCCCCGTGAAGGTGATCGTCATGGTCATTGGACCATTTTAAGAATTAGTTTTATGTAAAATTCAGAATGACATTTTCAGATATATATTATATATGTAATTGAATTTAATGTTTTCGTCAGAACCTGGCTGGTATATCTTTTTTTCAGGACACTGAGTCGATTGTCTCATTCTACATACAGTTTAAGAGTATATTGAAATCGATCTCCACGCATTCCCCCAGGAGTTGTCATGGAGACGGAGACGTACATTATATTTTTTTCTCTTCCAGGAAGCCTTCATACACACATACTGCAGACAGGCGCAGCTGTATTGTGCAGCTGAGGGAAAGCAAGGTGAGCTAATCTAATCTAATATATGTGCGTGTGTGTGTGTGTGAAAGAGAGAGACATAGAAAGAGAAAGAGAGAAAGTTTGTGAGAGGCAATGAGAAATTACAGCAACCTCGTTAATTCAAAATCGTCCCCGTTTAAGCAAAATTCGTATTAACGGGTTCGTATTCAGGACAAAGTTGTAAATGGTGTGATTTTATCCCTAAGGTGATTCTGTATCCAATCTGCCATACCGTAACGTACATTCATGACAATCGTGGCGCTAAGGTTCTTATATACATTAAACGCCAAAAGAAACGTTACCCTCCGTCCTTAATGACGGAGGTACCTATCTTCAGCTGGCGTTGTGACGTCTACTTCTTGGTCTGTCTACGGTGATCCCAGTCTGTCTGAAGCCCTGAATAAGTCTTATAACCGTGATACGGTGGCATCCGAGGGCGTTGGCAACAGCATTGTATGTCGACCCCATCTGCACCATCCCAATGGCTCTTCTTCTTCGTTCAGCTGTTAATCGTGGCATATTTCTCGTACTTGTGTATCAGATCATGTCTTCTAGTCTCTCTTTATACCCTATAGAACCATTCTACATGTGAAATGGATGTATACACTGCTTGAATATTGCTGCGTTTTGGCGATTGATATTGCTATGTGTAAACAGAAAATGGAAAAATGTTACTTTGCAAGCAAAAATGTTAACAAAGATAATTTTTTCACAATATCAAAGACACATTTTACTTGTTTTCACTGATGCAAATCAGCAGAAAATGTTTAAAAAGACTCATAACTCATCACAATGATTATTTTACAATTCTACACACTCTACAACAGTTGTTTCTTGTTTTAATAGTTGAAAAATGGTGACTTTAAATGGTTTATCATTGTCCCAAAGCAGAATTTTATTTCAAAATTTCTTTTGGTCATCAAAATCACTATTATTGGTTAATTTCGGCATGGACGAATAAAGGACAATTTAACTCTTCTGAAAAAGATGCATTTCACGTAAATATGAATGCATTTGAGAATTTTTTCGTGATTTGCATGAAGCTGTGTTGTTAAGCTTTCTTGTAAACTTAAACTTTCTGAAATATCTTTGATACTTTTTCAGTAATTCATAAAGGTAGGAGGGTAACGTTTCTTTTGGCGTCTAGTGTATATAAACAAGTCCATTTCTATTCGTGTATACGCATCATAAGGCCTTAGAACGCAATGGCCCGGATTAACGTGGTTTCAATGAATGTGTACGAAGTGTCTGCTGATAGATAGGACTGAAACACTTCCCCTAGATTGTGATTCTATTGATAGACCCAAAACATTTTCAATTTGCTATCTCAAACTAATATGGTTATAAACTGATTAAGTGCTAGGCTACTGAAAATTATGTTTCCTGAAAGCCAATTGCTTTTGAGATATTTATGATATAATCAACAGCTTTTGAAGCTTTGGTAGCCAGGATCGCAACTGTACAACTGATTTTACATTCATCATGAAATAATTGCTTAATATCATTTGTCGTTTCTCAATATACCAGTTCAGCGTCGTGAAAATTGACAATCCTTCTCTTGTTGCCAAAAACGAAGCCGTTTTTTAACATGCACAGGGTAATTACTTCTGCATTCGTTCTTGACAAAAACAATTTTATCCAGTGCTTGAAATCGGCGTATAGAGTTTCCAAAAGACCTATGTCTTTCTTAATACATTATGTACATATTATATTTTCACCCACTGAAAACGTCCGTATCTCTGCCACAATAAACATCTAAGATCTCTCTAAGTATACACGAACGTGTAACAAACTTTACAAATAAAGTACTGCAAACTTGGCAAGTTTCCAGTAAAGATTAGCAAAAAGGTTCTAGCTAAATCTCATATTAGTATTACAATACTGACGGGAAATTGCAATGTAATTGCTTTCTTTTTGTCGTCTATTCGATACTGGTTCCCCAGAGGATATAGCGTTTAAGTAAAGGAAGCAAAAGTTGGACACTTTAGAGCACTATAGAGCACTACATCGCTTATAGCTAGATATTAGACAGATCAATTTACAGTAGCATTCATTTACTTCACACACAATGTAACAGAGACTAAGTGCAGCGCTAAGTATGGTTCGAAGGCTAGAACTCACGATTTAATATTTTCTTCTCTATTTTATTCTGAAACCATGGTTTCTTTTTACAATGTACATCTTAAGAAATATTGGATCGTATTGTCCTCACTGACGCCAAACTGAGGTTCATTTCACAAAAGAGATGTGATATATCATCGTGTGTAAATAACACTTTCAATATTATCGTTGTAGAAGCAATTTTGACCATGTTGATGTTTTCAATCGGCATCTGAGCTTCAAACTAGCAAGACAAACAGAGTCAGACGCTTTGTGTGATTACATAATGGAACTTTCTATAAACGTGACATTTAATGCGGAATACGCTTTGAAGAAGCACTTGGTATGTTTGTGTTAAAATCAGAAAATAAATATACTATTACAAGTAAAATAGAACCGTTGGTAATGGGAGCAAACGAGGGACGGGTATCTGTGCCATTAGTACAAACCACCCTTTAGAATTTAGTGGGTCAGCGATGGACCTTTTGTCGCGTGTCATTTGTGTATTTACCTCGCCTGGGGCTCCCAGAATGATCGTTCATTGTGTTGGAAATGTGCGGCATATGGAACAAACAAATAACACTGTTAGAACTGTAAAAGGAGTCCATTAGCTGACTATTGGTGTGTCGGCTTGAACCAATTTTCACCGCAGCTTCAGTTAGAGACCAGCTCGTAAGCACTGGCATGCAAATCTCTTTGGAGACAGTCGCCGGCTCGGTGGCGTTCTCTGGCAACAAAAACGGCAATCCGGAAATGCCATTTGCGGTAAAATTGTCTCTGGAAGAGTGAGACTAAGTGTCAAAAGTACTTATCCGCCTTATATTTCAATGACTCCTCTAATGAAAGAGTAAAATTCCCCAGAGATAACCATTGACCTCTGATGAGCGAACGTAGACGGCCCGAAATGCAATATTGGTGAGCTGTTAGAGCCCTGTCATCTCGTCCCCTGTGATTTCAGGCGTTTTGGTAACAGATATGCCAAGAAAACATAAGACATGCATCGAATTGTAAGCAGAATACGCAGTGGTCTTTTCTGTTAATGTTCATCTCCCGGGAGTTTCATTAGTCAGCTCAATTCCTTTATATGAAACGCGTGTAGCTTTAAGATCGCGGTTCAGAAGAGTCTTTTGTTCTGAAGAAGTGGAGTGATATAATCTGACATATGCTTTTCCCAAGCAGGAATTAATGCAAAGGAGTATATTGTGGTTCCTATTTGATCAAGCCGTCGTACGTTGATGCCCGACAGAAACACATACAACGAACGCAAGGGACAAATACACATTCGTTTGTATAACTGGTTCCTTGCCCAGGTAAAATAATTAACATCACTGTTATGCCCAACGGAATCGGTTTTGGCAGATAATCCAGACTGGTTTGTCTCTGGCGGTGATGTTTTGAATTTACAAGGATAACCCAACTGAAGATTGTAAATTGACATGGCTCCCATGGATGAAGACAATGCACACAAAATAGCTTTTAGGAAGTGGTCAAGTGTAACATGTTATCTTTGGGATTACACTTCCTCAGTAAAGAACAAATTCTAGTACTTAATGGGTTGACCCCTATTTAGAATTGGAGTGAGTGAGTATGGTTTTACTCCGCTTTTAGCAATGTTCCAGCAATATCACGCCGGGGCACACCAGAAATGGGCTTCACACATTGTACCCACGTGGGGAATCGAACCCGGGCGTGACGAGCGAATGCTTTAACTTCTAGGCTGCCCCACCGTCCCACAGAATTCGTGATCTAGACAACCAGTTTTCATACTTCCATTATTTCGTGGACACGGCGGTGGCTGACTGGGTCAGATCGTTGCTTTTGTGTGCCCGCGATTACGTGATCACTCTATAGGTTCGAACCCCGGAAAGTGCTTTAATATGTACTTTACTGAGGAAGTGTAATTCCAGATACGTTACATTTGACCTCTTTCTGAAGGTCATTGTGTGTTGAAGGGATATTGTTGTTGAGGTTTTTGCGTGTGTGTGACGCGGCAGTCAGAATTGCTGTCCAAGAGTGCGAGGCAACCAATCAATGACATACCATCAACCATGTTACATACAGAACCGCCTATTTTGGTTGGCTTACACGACATGCATCGGGTACTGTGGGCTTATAATCCATGCCTGAATAACTTCAACAACAATTAATCTAGCCGAGTATAAATATCTCATCATGTGTTTTTAAATGCTGGTTTTGTTTCCTTGCATTGAAGCCATCTACGAGAATAATCCGATTGTACCGAAAGATTTCAACTTGAGTTTCTCACCGCAAGCAGAAAAATAATTGATTTGTAAGCTGTAGGTAGGAGAATAGTTTGCGGTACATTAACCTTTGCGAAGTAACATGAAGCGAAGATCGCGATACAGCAATCGATTTTCAAACACACAATAAGTTGTACAGAGGCAATCGGGGTTTCGTACACAGATACGTTGTTCTTGCATAAACACACAATACATAACCTTTTCTGTTTGCATTGGAGTATAGTTTACCTTAATTTCCACTACCACTCCGGCTCAGGGTGTCATTAAGTGCCTGGTTCCGACCTGATTGGTTGATCATTTTGCTAATTTGACATTCTACTTGTTGCTGGGTGATTTCGTGCAATACTATCCTCAAATAGCCATAACCACTGGACTCAAAGGGTTCAATAGTACCCTTCCAGTAATGGCCGCCTCCGTGCTGTAGTGGATCGAGTGTCAACCGTGAGAGATGAAGGTCGTTGGTTCGATCCTCACTGGCGTCATACCAAAAGACGTTTGAAAGATGATGCTTGTTGTTACTCTGCCTGGGTCTCGGCGTTAAGGGGATAACCAAGGACTGGTCATTTCGAAGCAAGTATGTTGTGTCTGAACAGGGGTCTTTGTTCTCCCGAGGCGTGAGGTTAGCACCTCCATTAATCGTTAGCTATTCCAGGCTAGAACAAGCAAACACAGATCCGCGCGCGTGTGTGTTTATGTATATGCAACGACAAACACCAAGTAAAACAATTTCAGGCAGGGCATGTAAAGGGCCAAATTGAAATAGGAACCAATAGAACACTTCTCGTAACGGTATCCAAAGGGACCAACAGAACACTTCCAGTAACGGTATTCAAAGGGTCCACAGAACACTTCCAGTAACGGTATTCAAAGGTTCCACAGGACACTCAGTTATTGACCGGGACCAATATTACACTTCTAGTAACGGTATTCAAAGGGACCAGCAGAACACTTTCAGTAACGGTATTCAAAGGGATGAATAGAATACTTCCAGTATAGGGATCCAAGAGGACCAATAGACCACTTCAAGCAACGGTATTCAAAGGGCCCACAGGACACTCAAATATTCACAGGGACCAATCGAACACTTCCAGTAACGGTATTGAAAAGGACCAACAGAACACTTCCAGTAACGCTATTCAAAGGGCCCACAGGACACTCAAATATTCACAGGGACCAACAGAACACTTCCAGTAACGCTATTCAAAGGGTCCAACAGAACACTTCTAGTAACGTTAATCAAAGGGACCAACAGAACACTTCTAGTAACGGTATTCTACGGGATCATAGAACACTTCCAGGAACGGTATTCCAAGGGATGAATAGAATACTTCCAGTATAGGGATCCCAGAGGACCAATAGAACATTTCTAGTAACGGTATTTTAAAGGGGTCAATAAAAAAGGTCCAGTATCGGCATTCAAAAGGACTCGCGAATATCTATCTTTACATCTGGTGATCATTTTAGGTGCACATCCTCTATCCGACAGCGATGTCAGATGTGGGCCATTCACTTTGCAAGAATAATAGTATATTTTCAAATTGGGAGATAAAAAATGCGTCAAAGAGAAACTACCAAAGTTCCTCGGGTCCTACAGACATTGTACATACTTTGTAGCACAAGAAAGGTTCAGCAATATACAATTCGAATTTAAAGTAGGACAGAATGCTTGCAGCCAGATGAGTAAAGCTATCATCTTAGCATTCGGTTTCCTATTTACATTTTATTACCTTTACTGATTACAGAGAATGATTGGTCTTGTTGTAGCATAACAACCACTGCCCGGAAGCACAGTTAATTGCACGATAAAGTTTCCACAACTATCCGATTGATGATGTACGTCTTATCAAACAAATTGGCAAAATAATACCAATCATCCCTCTGAGCAGCACTTCGAAACTAGTGCAGTAGATTAAAATTTCCAATGGCTTTGATTGCTTATTTTGAAGATTTATAACTGAGAAAGACGACACCTGGATTTACTGTCAGTACCAACATTCTCACTAAATGAAAAAATGTATCGTTTGTAACAGATAGCTGTGGGTATCACATGTACAGAACAAATGTCTTTAAAATAATTCTAAGACCGGGCATCGTTATAATTAGGGCTCCTTGCCTTTAGGCAGGAGACCTATTGTAATCGTTCGGATTATTATTATTATTATTAATTATTATTCCGCCGATGTTTGTACCAAACATAACTCCCTAACCAATGCTCCGAATAGCTTACAGTTTGACAGCAAATATCTCAAGAACTAATTGTTCCAACACTTCCACATCTCTTGTACAGATGCACAATCGAATTCCCAACAATTTTGCCTGGATTGGTCAAGTCGCTAAAACGTACCGTTTGGCAGTTATTTTTGTTTTCAGTTTTTGGCCGTGTTTTTCAGCAGTTTTCTGAGTAGTTTGCTCCCGAAATGTGCTGAGCTTAAACCACCAGCTCTAGACATTCCAAACTTTCCATAACTGATGTCCAGTAACCATTGTGCACATTCTGCACAAAAGAGTGCCAGTATGGTAGACGAAGTCTTGGTGATTCCAGAACACTAATTGTTTTGACAGTAGATCCAAGAACAACTGAGATACAGCCTTATAAAGGGGAAACTATTTCTTCTCCAGAACTTCTTAAAAGGTACATCACCCCCGCGACCCCGGCTGTATTTGGAAAATCCGCTCGCCTGTCAAAAACGTGTTCTGGCTCCGTTTTGGACGATGATTTCTAGCCCTCAAATACAATAGATAGAACTAAAGCCAAGGAGCCTCCATCGTTGCTTGCAACTATATTTTAGTGTATGATTTGATTTGAAGGTTATTGTTCGTTTCATTTACACAACTGTGAACGTCAGCGGGTCCTGGTTCGTCTAAGGGACGTTACTTTGCATACCTTGCTTAACATTTCCTCAACATCATACGTGGCTTCATGCAATGGAATGTTTCAGACTAGGTCTCTTCATCTAGAAAATATTATGTAGTTTAGAAACATTCTCAAATTTAGATTTACTCCGAAGATTTGCCTGCTAAGGTTTTAACCCATATCATGAAGCAGAGCATATTTCTGCTGTCTCATTTTCCTTCATTTTCCTGTGCAAGGTATACCTGAAACCAAATGAATATTTCTTACGCTGTATCTCGGTTACATTACTGAAACGATGCGGTGTCGGTTGTTTGTTGTAACCTAATACTTTGTGATTCTGTTAAAGTTAAATCAATTTGTTGGGCACACATAAGGCTTCTGCTTGCTCTGCTCGGCATGGAGACACAACCAACAACACTGCTGGACATTTTGTACCCTGTCTGCTTTTCAAGGTGTCTTTTAAGTTGCAGACAGGCAAATCTATTTTGCATTATTGATACGTTCGGTAGATAAAGCTTTCTGAAAGCACTGGGTGTCATATGATTACATTTTTCGATAAAAGTATTCATTTCTCGTTATATTATCGAATTTGCATATAAGTAAAATGGTTAAATATAATAAAGGTCACGCGTTGCTATAGAAACCCATAAAGTACATCCAGGGAGGTAACGCGACATAGACAGGTATGAATATGTAATAACTGTATTGACATTCACAATGCACTTATATTTTATTATCAAACGTGTAACTACCGAAATGTAAGCACAGACAGATCAGTAGATGGGGATCGATCCGCTGACCTTCATCTCTCCGGACAGGCGTGATGTGGCTGGTTGGTCGGTTTGTTCTTTAACGCCGTACTCAGCAATATCTGTAGACTGGACCAGACAATCCAGTGATCAACATCGATCTACGTAATTGGGATACGATGACATGTGTCAACCAAGTCAGCGACCCTGACCCCCCAATCCCGTTAGTCGCCTCTTACGACAAATATGGGTTCTGCAGACCAATTCTTCAGGTTTCATGGACAAGAGTGAGTGAGTGAGTTTTTACATTAATTTTACAAAAATAATCCAAGTATGATACGGCGTCCAAAAGGCGAGCACAGTGATCAAACGGGGATGTATTAGTGCCAAGGCTTGTGAAAAATCCGAATATAGAATGATGAACGAGACATATGCCACATCCTTTACCTGAAGATACACCAAGTAATCAGAAGGTAAGCCATGACCGAATAACACAATACTTATGAAATACTTTATTACCGAACGTAGTTCTGTCTCCTTCCTCTAATACTGATTCTTGTCTCGCCTATTTTTAGAGTTCTATATTTCAAAATAACACAGACATTCCCAGATCATGGCGCCAAACTAATCATACCACTGCCTGTGATACTGTTTGCATCGATCCCGGTGTAAACTGTTGAAATAGTGGATATATTGTTGCGTGCTGAATTCAGGTGTGGCATTCGTCAATGTTTTTGACGTCAAATCTACTCGAAAATAGACATTGCTAGAGGTCGGGGCATGATGACAGATAGGTTTCTAGGCATACAAATTGCCATAAATCCATAGGCCGATCTGAAAATATATCATTTTTACCGCGGCATGCCAGCGTAATGGAGTAGGAAACACTATATAGTCCCGTTCTTTTACGTTTATCAATCTGTTAAAACGAACAGGGGCATGTGACGTTGACAAAGTAAAAATCCTAATCTGGATGACAGGTAGTCGTACTAACGATCATCTGATTTTGGTGCGAGTGAGTATAGTTTTAAACCCCTTTTGCAATAGCCAAGCAATTGCTGGTCGTGGGAACACGAAAAATGTGGTTCACAGATTGTACCCATGTGAGGAATCATAGTCTTCCTTGTGGCGAGCTAAGTTAACGCTTCAAGTACTATTGGCCACTCCACAGCCTTCTGTTTCTGGAAGCTAAGGGTCTGTGATGAACCCTTCAAAAGGAATACGGGCGCCTCAACATGAAGTGTCTCTTTTCTTTTTATACGGGCGGTGGGGTAGCCTTGTGGTTAAAGCGTCGCTCGGCATTCGAAGACCCGGGTTCGATTCCCCACATGGGTACAATCTGTGAAGCCCATTTCTGGTGTCCCTCGCCGTGATATTGCTGGAATATTGCTAAAAGCGGGGTAAAACCATACTCACTCACTCACTTTTTATACGGATACATATAATTGTTATATTGTCATTCTGAATAGAATTACATCACTAAACAATTATTGTCAGAATCTGTTGTTGGCACAATCGTACTACAGGATAGCGGAAGGCAGATAATATAGTAACTATTCGGTATCAAATATTACATTTGACATTTGTTATGGATAACAAATATGTTACAATTTCAGTGCTAAATGTATGTTGTTTTCGCCTCTATTTTGCATTTTATGCATAATAAAATCTTTTCAGTGGACAGTCGAGTCTGGTTATGTTGACTTTGTAAATTTAAATAAGATAGATTGTCTACTGTCTTGGACACTGGCGCAATATATTTCAATCTATTTTTAGCAGACCCATTAAGAATGGCGATAACACGCTTTCACCTGAATGAATATACTCAAATATCAATTGGAATGCCACAATTATTATTGTTTATTAAAGAGCAAAAACCGATATTAAAGAATGGATGATTGGTGTGATCAGTACGTTTTATGATTGTAACATATATTTTCAGGTCCGCCTGGAAGACCAGGAGGTAAGGGGTCTAAAGGAGGAATTGGCGCATCAGGTGGGTACTAGATATAGATAAATATAAACACATTGAATTTCCAGAAAGCAACTGACTAATGTAGAGTTTGCTTCAGTTTAGATTTTCTGCTTGTTTACTCCATGATATCAAAACAAAGGACGCTAGGACGTTTTTTATTTGCATCATCGGGACGAGATGTGTTCCTGACACACACAGAAGTGTTGATTGCGGGAGTTCAAAAAGCAGCCATACGACCACGCAAGCGCTCGCACGCGCGCACGTAGATACATACGCACTTGCTCATGCACGTCACCTTATGGTTTGATATTGAACGCTGACAGAGACATCACTACCATCAGGGAACTACAGCTGCTATTACTTGTGCTGAGTTAATTGCTTGGTCATATACTCATGCAAGAGGTAAAAATACATTCTGTACCTATGGTTTTGCGTCGCTTGTCCCAGTCTCCAAGCAATATGAGGGCGGGGGACATCAGAAATACATTCTGTACCTTTAAGCGAGTGAGGAGACTGTGGTTTTGCTCCGCTTTTAGCACTCTCCCAGCAATATTAGGGTGGGGGACACCAGAAATGGGCTTAATAAATGCATCCTGTACCTTTAAGTGAGTGAGTGTGGTTGTGCCTCACTTTAAGCAGTCTCCCAGCAATATTAGGGCGGGGGACACCAGAAATGGGCTTAATAAATGCATTCTGTACCTTTAAGTGAGTGAGTATGGTTGTGCCTCACTTTTAGCAGTCTCCCAGCAATATTAGGGCGGGGGACACCAGAAATGGGCTTAATAAATGCATTCTGTACCTTTAAGTGAGTGAGTATGGTTGTGCCTCACTTTTAGCAGTCTCCCAGCAATATTAGGGCGGGGGACACCAGAAATGGGCTTAATAAATGCATTCTGTACCTTTAAGTGAGTGAGTATGGTTGTGCCTCACTTTTAGCAGTCTCCCAGCAATATTAGGGCGGGGACACCAGAAATGGGCTTAATAAATGCATTCTGTACCTTTAAGCGAGTGAGTATGGTTGTGCCTCACTTTTAGCAGTCTCCCAGCAATATTAGGGCGGGGACACCAGAAATGGGCTTAATAAATGCATTCTGTACCTTTAAGTGAGTGAGTATGGTTGTGCCCCTCACTTTTAGCAGTCTCCCAGCAATAAATTAGGGCGGGGACACCAGAAATGGGCTTAATAAATGCATTCTGTACCTTTAAGTGAGTGAGTATGGTTGTGCCTCACTTTTAGCAGTCTCCCAGCAATATTAGGGCGGGGACACCAGAAATGGGCTTAATAAATGCATTCTGTACCTTTAAGTGAGTGAGTATGGTTGTGCCTCACTTTTAGCAGTCTCCCAGCAATATTAGGGCGGGGGACACCAGAAATGGGCTTAATAAATGCATTCTGTACCTTTAAGTGAGTGCGTATGGTTGTGCCTCACTTTTAGCAGTCTCCCAGCAATATTAGGGCGGGGGACACCAGAAATGGGCTTAATAAATGCATTCTGTACCTTTAAGTGAGTGCGTATGGTTGTGCCTCACTTTTAGCAGTCTCCCAGCAATATTAGGGCGGGGAACACCAGAAATGGGCTTAATAAATGCATCCTGTACCTTTAAGTGAGTGAGTGTGGTTGTGCCTCACTTTAAGCAGTCTCCCAGCAATATTAGGGCGGGGGACACCAGAAATGGGCTTAATAAATGCATTCTGTACCTTTAAGTGAGTGAGTATGGTTGTGCCTCACATTTAGCAGTCTCCCAGCAATATTAGGGCGGGGGACACCAGAAATGGGCTTAATAAATGCATTCTGTACCTTTAAGCGAGTGAGTATGGTTGTGCCTCACTTTTAGCAGTCTCCCAGCAATAATAGGACGGGGGACTTCAGAAATGGGCTTAATAAATGCATTCTGTACCTTTAAGTGAGTGCGTATGGTTGTGCCTCACTTTTAGCAGTCTCCCAGCAATATTAGGGCGGGGGACACCAGAAATGGGCTTAATAAATGCATTCTGTACCTTTAAGCGAGTGAGTATGGTTGTGCCTCACTTTTAGCAGTCTCCCAGCAATATTAGGGCGGGGGACACCAGAAATGGGCTTAATAAATGCATTCTGTACCTTTAAGCGAGTGAGTATGGTTGTGCCTCACTTTTAGCAGTCTCCCAGCAATATTAGGGCGGGGGACACCAGAAATGGGCTTAATAAATGCATTCTGTACCTTTAAGTGAGTGAGTATGGTTGTGCCTCACTTTTAGCAGTCTCCCAGCAATATTAGGGCGGGGACACCAGAAATGGGCTTAATAAATGTATTCTGTACCTTTAAGTGAGTGAGTATGGTTGTGCCTCACTTTTAGCAGTCTCCCAGCAATATTAGGGCGGGGGACACCAGAAATGGGCTTAATAAATGCATTCTGTACCTTTAAGTGAGTGCGTATGGTTGTGCCTCACTTTTAGCAGTCTCCCAGCAATATTAGGGTGGGGGACACCAGAAATGGGCTTAATAAATGCATTCTGTACCTTTAAGTGAGTGCGTATGGTTGTGCCTCACTTTTAGCAGTCTCCCAGCAATATTAGGGCGGGGGACACCAGAAATGGGCTTAATAAATGCATTCTGTACCTTTAAGTGAGTGAGTATGGTTGTGCCTCACTTTTAGCAGTCTCCCAGCAATAATAGGTCGGGGGACACCAGAAATGGGCTTAATAAATGCATTCTGTACCTTTAAGTGAGTGAGTATGGTTGTGCCTCACTTTTAGCAGTCTCCCAGCAATATTAGGGCGGGGGACACCAGAAATGGGCTTAATAAATGCATTCTGTACCTTTAAGTGAGTGCGTATGGTTGTGCCTCACTTTTAGCAGTCTCCCAGCAATATTAGGGCGGGGGACACCAGAAATGGGCTTAATAAATGCATTCTGTACCTTTAAGCGAGTGAGTATGGTTGTGCCTCACTTTTAGCAGTCTCCCAGCAATATTAGGGCGGGGGACACCAGAAATGGGCTTAATAAATGCATTCTGTACCTTTAAGTGAGTGAGTATGGTTGTGCCTCGCTTTTAGCAGTCTCCCAGCAATATCAGGGCGGGGATATTAAAAAATGAGCTTAACACATTTTATAAATGTAGGAAATCGACTCTTTCGTGTGGCAAGCGAACACTTTAGAGACAGCAACCCCACTCACCCCAACACTTTTTATTCTTGTCTCTCAGATATCACAACCTATCCAGAATCTAGTAAGTGCATAGTTTTGTGTAACGATAAATGCTACCCATTCATAGCATAATGATTATTTAACATGATGCAAAGTTTCATCAAAAGGTTAAACCGACACGTTTCAAGGTACCAGCCAAGCTTACCCGTTTTGCCCAAAGAGGCGTTACAACTGATACATGTCTTAACACTGTTCAAGGTGATGATTTAGATTGGTTGTTGTATGGCGTTAACGTTATACTGTCTACCATCCTTGAGTCGAACTTACGATATCTCGAAGTCCTTGCAATTGGATCCTGGATATCCCTCCTAAAGTCATCATATTTCGTTTGTGTCGAACCCCGGATAACCCGTAGTATTTACGCAGTCCCTGAAAATTCGACCAATCGGTGATAAATTGTATATTATATTTGAATGGTAATCGGTTTCAAACCCGTTGAACAAAAAAAGATATACATTAGTCAAAAAGTCACTGGTCTGAACACGACTATCTGTGAAGATCTGTGCCGGTATCCATACACGCCATCTTAAAAAAACATTAATCCGACAGCTCTGGGGACAACTCAATTTATTTTTACGCTGATGTGGACGCGACCTTGTGCCCATTAGGTACACCATTATCTCATACCCAAATGGAAGAGGGTAAGCTTTTATAACACATGAAGTGTTTTAGGAGCACTTGAGCGTTTTCTTTAGCTGTGTTACTGCCGTCATTAGCTTCCAAAGTCACTGTGACGGTCTCCCTCGGGGCGCTGGCAACACACTGAACCGGGCAAGCCATAAGCAACTTTCACCGAAAAGACTTGGTAACAAGATAACGTAGACACATTTATATTTGGAAAGCATGGCGAACCATTCCGGAACCTATGTGTTTAGCTTTTAACTTGTCCTTGTCGCAGTTGTGATTGTGATCAATCTGATGATCTAGTGCTTGTGTACTGATTTATTTTAAATAATGCGAAATATTCTGGAAAAATGTGATCTTCGATGATTATTTTCTAAAATACGTTATTAATTTTAGAAATGTAGATTTTTTCTGAAAGAATTAGATTGGAAATAGATCAGAATATTATACAGTATGCATCACGAAATCATTGATCATCTGAACTTGAATATGATAGTTTGAATAAATTATGATTTCTTAGTTGAAGATTTCAATTTTAAACATTTTTAAAGAAACATGAATGTGATTATTACTTATATCCTGGATGAAATGACTGAAATAAGAACGAGCATTGTTTTACATTGCTTTGAGCCGTATTTCGGGGGAAGCGGATACACAAAGCTAAAAGTCAAACTGATTGTATCATTCTGACTATATGATGAACATGGGTTCATGTATCAAAAGCAAGAAGTGAAGCTAGCAGGTAGGGGTGGGTATTCCAGAGAATTTTCAGATTGCAATATATTGCGATATGTATTATTGAAATGTATTGCAAGAATGTTTTTAACAAAAAATACCTAGTTATAATCGAGTTAAAGCTTGATTTATAAGCAAAAACACAACAAAAACACCATGCAGGATTAAACTTTTAATTATAACAAAATAAAAGTGTAAACAATATTTGGCACTAACGAAACAAGGAAAAGAACAATTTAACATCCACACAGAGGTGACTAGTTTGAACTCGTTTCTCCACTCTCAAAAAAAGCCCTGAGATTTTAGACAGCAACTTGACCTGGTCAGGACATATCAGAGATCCGTGGTCATTAATGAGTAAATATTTAAAACATTCAGATCCAAATCCTTACGAATCACTTGAACAAAAGAACACAACTTCAAACCGAACTTAACAATACTGTTAAATGTAATATTCACCATCATATCGGTAAACCGGTTATATTGCTCAGCCCTAGTAGCAGTTGTCAGTCGCACCATCACAAACACATGCAAATGCTAGCCAATTGTTCACCAGAATTGCCAAAATAATGTTTTGTCTTTGCTTGATAATGTTTGATGTCTCCCTGCCATGCCCTCGGAATTCAGGGAATGACAGTCACAATATCGGTTTGGTTCTTTGTCTGAGTGGGGTATCCATGTGAATTGCAATGATATCTCACTTAGCTAGCGCTATAAAACCATCATTAGTCCGGACGAGTACAAGCAACGTACGTACATGCTCCAAGATAACCTAGTGGTTAAAGCGTTCGCTCTTCACGAGGGGACAGGGGTTCGAATCTACAGATGGGTAAAATGTGTGAAGACCACTTCTGGTGCTGGGGTATTGCTATATGCTATACTCACTGACTTCCTAGCTGAATGCCGCTATATTGAACGCGACGTCAAACCCCAAGCCACCTCACCTCACCTCACATTGAACTCAATGAAACGACATCTTCACTTTTTATCAACTTACACATCCCAAAGACATTCCTTTTGTATTAAAGTTCATCTTATACCTTTATAATCGGGTTCTAGTCAGTGTGTAATGGTAGAGTGTTAAGTCCCTCGACGCGAGACTCAGACAGTGTATTGGAGCGTTGACCCACCAGCACTGTCAACGTATTATCCTAATTGAAACCACATTAACCTTCCAGTCTAATTTCCTGATGCCAGTCGATAATATTGGATTTGCTTAGATTACTTTATCTTGCTACTAGGCTGCAGAATGAGAAATGTTTTCTCGTTTCTGTCTTTAAAAACGCCACATCCGCCTATTGCGTGCAATGTTCTTTTGGCTGAAGCAGCAGGCCAGGATGTTGAAACACAAGCGACAGAAAAACGTGACGGAAGAGAACTGGATGTGGTCTATTATTAAGTGATGTCACATTCAATGAAACATTGAATAGATCATGCACTACATACACATTCTAAATGAGTGTGTGTTTACGAGGTATAAGGTGTCAGATAGTACATGACTGATACGTTGATACTTTATCCATATATGCATTTGATAACCCGCCATTTGTTCACACTGCACAGGCACCAGAAAGAAAGATTAATGTCATGTCGATTTTCGAGTGTATCAATTTAGCACTATGATAGAGAATCTATTTAAAGAATACGTGCTGCGTAAACAACGTAAAGGATTACTGCTACTTATTTGCATTACACAATGACGTCCCCATGCTTTGTGACGTGAGGTGAGGTGAAATTGGGTTTAACGTCGTGCTTGAGAATATTTCGCTCATATGACGACGTGCATGCGTGTGTATGTGCGGCTGCTTGTACTAGCCCAGACTTAAGCTGGTTTCACAGTGTTAGCCCACTGAGATACCATGCCGCAGTGAAGCATGAATACCCCACGCAGACACATTATACTGACTCCGAGCCGACCAGTCTTTGTTGTACCCATTAATGCCGAGCGCCAGGCAAGGACCAACAAGTACCATATTTTAACGTCTTTTGGTATCACGCGGTCGGGGTTCGAACCCGCGACCTTCCGTTCTCCGGGGGGGACGCTCTAACCACTACACCATGAATGCGGTCCCATGTTTTGTATGGAGCATGATAGCATGTCAATTCATACATAATAATAATATATATTTATAAAGCTCCTGTTTCCACGCACGTTTGCATGCTCAAGGCGCTAACACACATTATTACCCCGGATAACCCAAGATGCCTGTTAGGCGCTTTAAGCTTAACAGCACTATGACTTATCCCACCGGGTACCCATTCACTGCTGGTGAACAGAGACAATTTATAAACAAATTCATTTGCTTATAGTGAGACCACATGTGTCACGTGATGTTTTCAACCACAAAACTATGACAATAGCACGCAGCAGCATCTAGAGACTGATATTACTTCACTGCCGGCATAGTGAATTGTCAGACAGCACACGCTATTGTTCTCAAAACTAATGTTCAAGAACTTCCCCCTTTTTAAGAACTTCATTCCAAAGTTTAACTCTTTTCAGAAGGACTCAGCTGAATTCTTTTAAATTTCAAATGATCATTCAAATACGCGCACGTTTAAGTGAGATATAGAGGAGACATTGAGTGGCATTTTGTAAAGTTGGAGAGTCAGATAAGGACACACTTTATGGATGAACAACTTCTTTATCCTGGAATGCGACGTTACGGTGCAGAATCTGCTTGACAACGATACAAGAATCTGTACCGAAACGTTGCATCACCTGAATAAAGAAGTTGTTCATCCATACATTCTGTCCTTATCTGAGGAGACTGACTATACAAAAGAATGACTCAATTACAAGATGGAGTATATGTAGTTTTACGTAAGTATCTCATATGAAAATAGATAGAAATACAGTCTTAATACAGGTAGTCTTTAATAAAACAGACTTTAACCCAGTATTCCAATAAGTCCGGTCAGTGACTGACTGACTGAGTTTTGGTTTTACGCCGCTTTTAGCAATATTCCAGCAACATCACGGCGGGTGACACCAGAAATGGGCTTCACCGGTCAATGAGGTTTAACAGTATGATATACTTGCATATATAACAATGTTTCACTATTCTGTCGTCAAGGTCTACCAGGACAGAAAGGTGAACCAGGGGTGGCTGCGCTGTCTTTATATTCCGGTCTTCCTGTTGAAAACCTTCGGACTCTTGGAAATCTGAGAGGGCCCCCAGGGCCTAAAGGTTTGTGCAATTTACATAATTAACCACCAGGGACTATTTTTAGAGGCGCTTGTTGCAAAATGCTGTATTTGAGTGAGCTGCGTCTGAACTGCTTTGAACAGTTTGTGCAATCATATCACGTGTCAGGTGTGTGTGGGAGGAGGGCCCAACCTAACGCAGTCTGTAGACCTTTATACACTGTGGAGCAAACTAATGACGTTATAAGGAAGATTCTGGGATTCGAACGCCCAGCCAGTTGAATGTGGCAGAGCTACAGGAAGCAATGTTTCATAGCAGAAACCAGCACCAGAGATCGCCTGGCAAGTTGTTCCAATCAAGTAACGTTTATCAAGGAAGCAATGTCAAATATGAACCCCATCCTCGATAATCTCCAGGGTATACGTTACGATCACTCTCCACTATACCTTAGATGCATCCACGGCTTGGCCCGATAATTACATTATCTCCCTTTGCTGGCTCCGCATTCTCACAGTAGCCAATCAGCTAAGCCGCCGTTACATCCGAGCTTGCCAGTGTCAACAATGATAGCGTTCGCAGTGCCACTCAGATATTTTAGGAAATAATACAGACAAATTGACAGATCTGAAATTTTCAAAAACTATATAAAAGAACTCCTTCTACCACTTTCAGAGTACCACTGCATCAATTGTGTTGCCAAGTTTAAACGGTTAGATAATTTAAGAAACGAAAGTGAGTTGTGATTGGTTCGCTCAACTTCCCAGCGTAGACACTTGATTGGATAAAAAGCCAGCCAAGGGAGGTAATAAAATCATCGGGCCAAGCCGTGGATGCATCCAGGGTATAGTGGAGTTTGATCGTAACGTATACCCTGGAGATTATCGAGGATGATATGAACCCATGAAAGCAGAGAAATGAATGCTATAATACAGTTATACAGAAATGGGCAACTTGTTGTAAGACTCATTGATACTATTTATGTTACTCATTGGTAGTATCCTCTAAATGGGAAGACGGGAAGCAAGGCAATTTTCAAAGGATCTTTTTAATACCAACAGCATCATATAGCCTAATGCTTGAAAATGGTATAAGGATCTAAACCGAGAAGTTGATCATCCATAAAGACTTGTCATTCCTATTATATAGTGTCTCAGCAACCCATGCTTGTCGTAAGACGCGATCGGGAGATCAGGCTCGCTGGATGATGTCGTACACTGAGTGTTTAAATCGATGCTCTTCATTTCTATCACTGGATTGTCGGTGCTGTAATCGATTATTTGCTGATGGACTTCATATAGCTGTAGTATTGCTGAGTGTAGCAGTAATTTTGTGTCAGATATATTGTCCACGGTACAGTCTTAAGCACTTTTATCAAACATTTTCATGGACAAGTTCTTCGACAAAATCCCAGGCCCCTTACCATGCCGTTATAAAACGTAAACCATAAACATATTTCATATTCTATTTACGGTTACATTGTCATTTCTTCTCTACAGGTGACAAAGGTGAACCCGGCTTACTTGGCCCAAAAGGTCCCCCAGGTAACACAGGTGTGCCAGGACCCCCCGGGTCTCCTGGTCTGGATGGCATGTCGGGGATTGATGGATTGCCTGGTATGTCACTTAATCACCTAATGCTTCTCCTTCGGGTTTACTACTGCTGGCTGCACAACATACCTTTTGTAGGGGGAAGGGGCGGGATAAACTGAAACACGGATAGAGTGGGGTGGTAATTTGCTTCAGAGCGAACAACTTCTTCACCCTTAAAATGATAATGCTCATTCAATAGTAACGATGGGAATACAATGAGCTGTGATAAGATTATGTCTCACCGAGCACAAAACAGTGTTAGCTATTAAACGTTATGTAACCATCGTGTTGGAAGAAATCTTTACATGTTACGTTTGGCATTGATGCTTTTTGGTGATGGTTAAAGACTGTTGGCATCTCTCGTGATGCAAAAGGAAGTTTCACTGCAATACGATTCACGTTTAAGACATCCATATGAATCTATGCCATCATCTATAGACAAAAGAACAGCTTGATGGACACTGTGGGAGCATATGATTACATTCATAACCCTGTTACCTAAAAACACCCTCAAGAGCCATTACTCTATCCCAAAGGCCGAGAGACTAGGATATAGTCCCTCACCAACACCGCTGTCAAGACTAACACTTTCATCAGAAAATTCATATCAGGAACCGATTTGTTTTTCTTCTTTTCAATTTGACGTATGTGATAGAAAATTTGAAACACGATATTCTTGGCGTGTGTGCTCCTCGTACGCTGGACTTTTTGTATCATGTCGTAGAGCTAGGGCCAACTATTGATCAACTGGTCGCTGATGACGAAATACAAAATTTAATTTCCAGTGCTGCACGTTGGGGCTATGTTTTTATTACCTCAGTGGATGCTTCGACACGCAACAGATTCCTACAGTAGCCATGCAGTTCCCACAATGGCGTCGTGAAGCACCGTGGCCGTTTGTCTGGACATATATCTTTATACACTGCCTTATCCTGGCATCTATTGCATCGATTTTCATTCAAAGTCATCCTTTGTTAAGGCATCTGTTCCAAAGGGTACTTGATGTGGAAAGGTTTTGTAAGCAAGGGTAGCAGGTACAACGTCGCCGTACGTGGAAACGTGATCTGATGTTGCAATGTTTGAAAATCTATTTTTAAATTTGTGTTATAGGTAAATTTATTCTTTTGCGTCCATTATCAGGTCATGGCTGCTGAAATAGTCACAGATATGTCGGATAGAATTTCAGGACCATACTATAAATCATTCCCCTAACAAGCTCATAAAAATGTCCTCATGCATCATTGATAGATAGATGGCATATCGCAAGCGACTAAATTCTCATCAGTGTGTTCTACAAGCTGATGTTTTGAACAGAGGTAAAACTTTAAAGCAAAAGTGAGCTCTTCGAGAAAGAGTTTTTTTCCCGGATGTGACATTATTTTATAACAATACCCATAAAATGTAAATAATGAAATAATCGGTTGTTTTAATTGCCGATGTCAGCAGATATATCAAGGCCAAATGGTCATTCTGTATAATTTGTTCTACACTTACAACGTTTGTATCGATTATTTTATCAGGTGTTCCAGGCACTAAAGGAATGAAGGGGAATAAAGGAGCTCGAGGACTGCTGGGATTCCCTGGGAAAAAGGGACCAATGGGTGAGCCACCAATCAATACAATTAATACAATCAATACAATCTCCTCTTGACCTCTTGTAAATAATCTTGTGATATAGTGAAGAACTCATTAATTGAAACAGTACAATACAACCCATCCGTGCTGAAAATATGAGCAACCAAACCCTTTCCATAACCCTGTTAAATCCGAACTTTAAAACCCATTGTACGATTAAGATATATATAAATATCTTTGCCATACCTATAGTTCCAAATTCATATAAAATATCTTATGCTTTGTTCAGATCTCAAATTCAAACTGAATGCGCCCATCATATGATAAGTCTTGGGGTAAATATTCACACAGAACGCTAATGGTCGCCAGTAACATGAAAGGAAATAACAACTATTTGTCTTAGAGGAATGTAATCTTCTTGTGTTTGAAGTGCTTGGAGGAAATCAGGGATGGAAACACCGCTGTTCTACCATTCATCCAAGTTTCACGGGTCACGCTGCTTCTGAAAAAAATGTTATATTGATGTGTGATATTTACTTAATTATTTAACCACTTTTGTAAGTACCCTTGTGAAGAAGTATTTCATCAAAGAGAATGTTAACTGTAACCCGCCAGTACAAATGAAGCACAAGGGAAAAAACGCTCCACACCTGCTAGATTTGAAAAAGGAAATATGTTTTTGGCCGATTTGGGATTTGAATAAAACATGAGCCTGACAGGGAGCAGTCATCTCGGCGGGGAGCTTTCCGTAATCCGAGCATCACGCGTATTTATATGCCCTTTTAACTTTTCGCACGATAGTTATAATGTGATCATTACGATCTAGTGACCAGTTCGTTATATAGTTTAGAGTGAGTGAGTTTAGTTTTACGCCGCTTTTAGCAATATAACAGCAATATTATGGGGGGCTACACATACTGTACCCATGTGGGGAATCAAACACGGATCTTCAGCGTGACGAGCGAACGCTTTACCCACTTAGTTAACCCACCCATCCTATAAAGTTAACAACCCGCTTAATCAGGAATTGCTTTGTAGTAATACACTAATTTTGAGGTCACATATCATCAACATTAGGTAATTAGGTAATTGGTTGCATATATGCGTGTCTATCTGTAAAGATGTATTAGGTAATTGGTAATGGTGTCGTTACTGTCCATGTAGGTTTGGATGGGCCCAAAGGACCACCAGGTCCCATGGGGCCACTTGGAAAGGATGGATTGGATGGATACCCCGGACAACCAGGTGAGGGAGCACTGCATACACATAATACACTACCAATAGGCCATAGCCCACTTACACAAGGCGCTCTCAGCGTTCTCATGGTCGTAACTTCCATACTCTAACACAGACTTAAGACATTCTTAGTGCTGAGATCGCTTTGTGCGAGTGGGCCCAGGACTAAGGTGAGCATAATCTACATACCTTAACATAGACTTACGAGAGTCCTATCGCTATTGTAAAACAGCACCCTGGAAATCTATGTACACGTATTGCTGCACATAAGCATTATGTATTATACAAGTATTCTTCAAGAAATGAAGGATGTAGCTTTGTTGTTTTAACTTTATGGTCCTGGACGATTCCTTCGGTCGAAAGTCTACGCTCCGCTTGTCTCGGACCAAGCATAACTCGATGCATATTCCCTGTTAAATGGATCTTCCCTTTTGTGTCAATACTTTTCTGCTTATGTTCTAAATATCGTGATGAAATTTGTGTAATAACATGGGTAATAACATTTCTGTTTTGTACATTTTAAAAAATATTCGTGTTTTCATCTCCTTGTTTCTCTATTTCCTTATGGATCGTTTACACGTGGACACATGTGTCTGCCTGTCAAAATGTCCCCTATCCTGTATTTAGTCTACGATATTTCTGTGTGTCTATAGTACACAACATCATTTATACAATGTGAAGACATTGATCTGATAGACGGAACATGCAGTGCCTTCTTGAGGAACTGGGCTGAATAGCAGACAGGCTATTAGTAGCTTCTTACATCAAACCTTTGTGTAGGCAGGTGTGGGGATATCATTTACCGTTAACAAAGACACAGAAATCACTTGTGCATTTGTCAGTTATCAACTTTAAACTTCATTCATTCCTTAGTCAATACAGGATTATTCCGGTCCGATATCGATTAGACTTTGTACTGAGTACTGAATAATCCAGTACATACATTGAAACAGCGATGGTGATGAACACCGTCTTTCCACCGCGGCCTTAAACCCTTCTGAGAATACTGAACCTGATGGTGCTTTTATCGTTTGAAGTAGGCTGCACTGGAGTGACTTGCCATGAGAAAACCCGAGCCTCAAGCAGTTTTTGTTCATTTATGTGGATTCCCTGAGAAAGTGGAGTGCTAATATAACTTTAAACAAACTCCAGAAATTGGCTCTTAAGTTCATTTTTACATAGGAGGCTAGACGAAATATTGATTTTCAGTGTTTGCAAAGCAAATGTCAAGACCATTCGCTTATAATAATACAAGTAATTGGTTTGTTATTTGGAAGTTTGTGGCCTGTTGATTGTATGTTTATTCAGCGTTAATGTTGAGTCGGTATACCTACGGTAAAAATAATACTTCCCTCAAAACACATAACACATTTGGAAAAGACATTTTAAGGGGGACGATGCATCACAGTCTGTAGTTACTTTCCGGCTAGTAATTAGTGAATCGTGTCAAAATCAGTGACATTGTCTAATGAACCAATGGATGTACACATTAAGAACTGAGATTGCCTTCTTTCAACGTGAATGTTTTTCATCGAACTTGCTTGGTTTCCTAATCCAACACGGTACCCATTATGAAGTCGGGCACTAAAGAAAAAATTAATACATGGAAAAAATGGCAACAACATAAAGGCACATTTAGTCTTTGCACATCAGTTCGTGGGTGTTTCAAAAAGACACTGCTCTGTGACCACAAGAGAAACATAATATATTTCAAATCGTTTAAGAACCGTTAAAGTATTATCCTGACACTGTTCCATAATGTTTGGTATTGTACAAATTTATATATCGGTCAAAAACCAGTTTCCCATTTTAATGTTCATGATATATTTATTTTAAAAAAATCTTTCACACAAAAAAAACTCAATCGCTAAATATATTGATCTCTTGATGCCTTGAACTGTTTGTCTCCTAGCAACAGTTTGGATTTGTGCCTACGTTTTAGGCTTGAACGCTTGTACTTCATAAAGAATGGTCAGACTCCAGACAAGCGAATTTCTTATTAAAACATCTCGTTAGTAATTGTTCAGTCAATATTGGACTAGACTCTGATTCCAACAGTCTGCTTAGGTTTCTCCCATTATTGAAATACCATGCACCCAGGACGTTTTGCAATCCATTTTACGTGCATATTGATTTCTTCAAACAAAATGAAACATTTAGATTGGTATGCTTTTGTGCGATTTATCAGTAGATATGATTTGTCTGAATGGTTATTGTTTCACGCCGCACTCAGCAGTATTCCAGCTAGTTGATGGTTGTCTGTAAACAATCGAGTCTGGATCAGACAATGCATTGATTGACATTATGAGCATATCGATCTACAAAATTGGGATACGATGACATGTGTCATCCAGGTCTGCGAGCCTGACCACCCGATCCCGCCAGTCACCTCTTACGTCAAGCATGGGTTACTGAAGACCAATTCTAACCCGGATCACGGATCGTCAGTAGACATGAAAAGATGGAAATTAAAATAGAACAGAAAGCTTTGTTTTCTGTCATAACTCTTGCAAGCAGTTAAGAAACATTGTCATGTTGTACATTTAACGTCATCCCAACAAATAACATAGATGCTTTTGTACTTTCTTGCAAATATTTAGGCTTAACGTTCGCGAGAATAGTGTCTTGGAAGAAGTTTTTTCATCAATTAATAAGGCTACATGTACTTTGAAATCCAAAACGGCAATATATGGCATTTCAAGACGTCTAGCAATGCCTAAACCTATGCCATATGAAGTTTTTTACAAGGTAACAGCAACGTGCAGTACGTGTTATTGTATGGCGCTGAGCTATGTGGGCTGAAAATTGTAATTGTAATCAAGAGAAGATTGATGCGTTAACTTGCAAGTATTTTCTAGATATTACCTTGTTCGTGGCAATGTAAAATTTATCCAGTTTATATCTTTTTTCTTATAAGCTTTTTATTAAATACTTGTGTTAAAATGAATGTAAAATGCATGTTCATCTGTGTGTGCAATAGCTGTTATCATACACGAATATTTAATGATGCTGTTAGACATGTTTCATGGTAAAATGAATCTGGCTTCAACACTCTAATTGTTTTAATCCTTTTGTATTGAATACTAGTAAGTTTTCATGAATTTAAAAAAAAATCCAATATATCATATTGATATTTTTAGAAGAGCTTACAAATATATCTGTTTGAACAAAATGGTATGTCCATCCAACAGTTTGTTTTATATCATTCACCATTGTACTTTTTGTGTGGAGCCTCACATGAAGGAAAACTCTGTTGAGGGCATCCAGGATTCGATGTTGTTCCTACCAGTTCCATTGTCGCTGTAGTACAAAGACCAAGATACATGAGCATCGTTAATACATGTAACAATGTATATATAGAAAATTAGTTTCAGTTTTGCTTGTGTCACAGAGACATAATATATCAATGGCGGGTAACATTTAAATTGTTTGACAATACCTTTGTTTTTTTATTGAATGCAATTACGACTTGTTTCTTTTGTGTATCTAAACCGTTTCATGTTTGCTGCATTGTAATATACATTGTATGTGCCATGATGCTGGTGCTGAGGCTGGTGATGCCATTGGGGATACCATTATCGTATTAACACAAAAGCATGGTACTATAACTGACAAGACATTATCGTTCTAGACATTAAGTGGTCATCTTACAAGCCAAATCTGAAAATCAGTAAGGAATGTATGATCATATATACAAATACTTAAAATGAATGATATACTAATGACATTGTACATTTATCAGGGTTTCCTGGTCGGAACGGAACAGATGGTAAGCCAGGCAGGAAGGGAAGGAAGGGTGATGATGGCTTGAACGGAACTCCCGGCACTAGAGGAATGAGTGGAGTCCCTGGGGTGCCAGGACTGAAAGGAACGAAAGGAGACCAGGGACAGATGGGTTGGCAAGGCCCTCCCGGAGTGTGTACCTGTGAGTGTCAAAACCAACACTTTTAAAAAATCAACTTTAAGATCGATGTATTCAGAGGCACACATTACATTAAAATGTGTAATTAAATGTTTGTGCTCACTTGAAATGACATATTAGTCACGATATTGTTTGAATAATGCTGATATCATGTACACTACTAACGCACCGTGAAACCTTAATGTATTCGATATTAATTAAAGAAATGCTTGTTTTGATGTTGATACAGTCTGTAAAGTTTTTATATCTTCGTCGTTTGTCGACAAACTTCCATATTAAATCTATTGTAATACCTTACAAGTCCAATATCAAAGAAGCAATTTATGAGTCTCTAGTTTGTAAAATAATCTGCCCTTATCATTATTTTTTAAAATATAATCAGCGTTAAATTTTGCTGATTCAAAGCACGGTCTTTATAGGTTGACATTAAAACTCTTGCTTCTTTCCGTCTAGGTTTACCCGAAGAGAACTCCGACCGACTGCAAAGGCTTGGCTACCCAACATATCGAGGCATGAGTAAAATATCATATATTCCCACAGCAATGTCTGTTTGTGTATCAGTAAAATTGTATGGAAACATTGTCGAGTTCAGACCATGACGATCGATTACAGTCACTGCAAAAAACAAAGTTGTAAAAACCAATTTGATAAACACAGAGAATATGTTCAACTCATCGGAGGAAAATAAAACAATGTTAAGCAACCCATTAATTGTATTAAATTTGGGTAATCTACAGATCACAATGCACTATTGTCCCCCGTGAACTCAATCCTTCAAGCGAATGCTCATCGTAGGTTAATCATCGTAACAACACCTTGTCGTAAAATACGACTCTCTGGGGATGCATCTCGTTTCCCTTTATGCCTGTGTTGAGCGTCGGCTTTACGTATTCCATGAATTGTTCACAGAGAATGTGTTATCGGGCCCAAGGGGTCCTCCTGGACAGAAAGGAAGCAAAGGTGAATCAGGGAGTTGTGAGGGTAAGCCCCCCTACATGACGATTAACCGCTGTCATGGGTTTCATGCATTATACATAACATATCATAAAAAAGTCTTTCAGTGGCTTGGGCGAAGATATCAACAAAAACTTTTCAATAAAGGATTTTTTAAATTTAACATACTATACTGTAAACTCGTTGTAGTGAGTGTTCGTCCTTACGCTTACGAACATGAATAAAATCATTATTTTAATTTGGATGGTTATTTTGAAAATTGTTAAAGGATCGGTGCCATCACAAGTAGTTGCTGACAACGAGTAGCTGCTAGGTTATTTCCCAAATTGTTCGACCTCACTCACTGACAAGTCATTTAGACATTGCCTTTACATTATAGCTCACTGCAATGAAAACGCTAGACGACCTAGAACGACGGCTATATTTATTAAAGGTATACTTGCATCTATTGCATGACACTATGAATCATTGCTTCCAGCATCCCGTCTTCCCTCACCCTTCGCCACCCTCACAAGCATGGCCTACAATCTGACCAACATTTGATGGCACATATCCCTGACGTGATCAATGTCCTGTTCAGTAGACCAGCTAGACGATATGGTCCATCAAAGATTGGTCTTCCTGTGATTCTGTACTGCTTATACCTTTCTCTGCCACTTTTGTTTCCTTTCACTGATAGTGTTAGTAGGTGGTGTAGCTAGACATTGCCAAATCTGTCGCCATCAATTCGGTCTGAACGTATGCGTATTTCTGTAGACAACTAATAGTCGTACATATCCATGTTTTAGACGAGTTTGTTTTGTCCTCTCTCACTGTTTCAATCAATCTCTTTTGATTAACACGATTCTTTCAGATCCCTAAACTGATTGTTGTTTGTTCGGATTATCATTATAATTCCTGCTTGCAAACCCTGTGTTTCGTAGGTGCCACGTTGATGATGAAATGGAACTTTTAACATTACTGGAATAATGACGCTGATTGAGTAATTTGGAATTCGAATCATTTCCGCGACGTGATCAAAACACACAACTATATGAGACAATATGTTTCAATAGAAAATGTTTTTTTCTGACGCTTTTTTTTATTAAGTTTTCCGTCGGATTTACTGTTGTACAGGTCGATAATTTGAACTATGTATCACCGAACGTTGGTAGCACATATCCTAAAGGATCTCATGTACACGCTTTTCTACAACAGTACTGCAGTTTACCGTTTCGTGGCAACCTGTTGATGAACGATGTGCAAAGCACCCGGGGAGAATTTCTGGGGAGTTAAATGTAAACTACCATCTTTTCTTGCAGGGGCCAGAACCTCAAGTGTGTCCAGCAGCGTCGGTCACAGACCACGACTGAATGTGTTCATCATGAGCATAGCATACGTATTTGTAAGTATTAACCCCTGACCCGCCGTTGTGGTTATACCGTTTACACATTTCAGCCAACAACTGTTGTGTCGACGTTGAAAGAACCTACTTCGAGTTATCCGAGGTTCGGCACTGAATACAACTGACTTAATATTGAATCAACAAGGGCCAAGCCTATACTTCAACTCAACTTTCAATCCACATATCAAAATATGACAAAACAGCGTTCGGCTTTATTGGAGTGCATGGTACCATGTATTATGTAAAAGGAATGCATTTATATTAAAATTTTATATTTGTACGGTTATTATTTACAATTTATGCAAATATATTTAATGTCATCCGTCGTTTATTGGATTCTTTAAACAAAACACTGAATATCAGTGACATCTTGTAACTAATAAAATGTGAATATCAAATTAGGACCATTGCGCTTCTATTAGGACTTAATAATAACAGTCGTGACAAAACATATCTACGTATGCCGGATGCCCTTTATAAGTTGTACAAAACAACATGGTTCACTTTCCACCCAAAATGTCATTAGAATCAAACCATTGACAACATATGAATATGTGATAATTTTAAATAAGACCTTCGTAGGCCATGTCTGAATTCACAATGATGACGGCGGGTATTTGCTACGGTTGAGGCTGTCTGGCACATCTGAAAGTCAAAGACGTGGAGCGACTAACGGTAACGTCAGGGTTGACCATATAATGCCATATTCTATTTTCTCATTTTCGAATGACCTAGTTGTTTGTCCAAGAATCGGTCATTTGTAAATTGATCGGGAGATAGCGGAAGTTTTGCTTTGTAAACACGGACCTCTGCTTCTGCACATGGGCACCATACTTTGTATTTACTATGTCTGTTGTCCTCTCTATCTTCTTAACAAATGCCACAAAGCTTGTTTTTCATCACCAATCAACCCAAAATGTCGACTCAGACCGTAAGAGTTTCATCACCAACCAACCAAAAATGTCGACTCAGACCGTAATGGTTTCATCACCAGCCAACCTAAAATGTCGACTCAGGCCGTAATGGTTTCTTAAATTGTATTTACATTCTGCATCTGGTTCCGGTTCTGCCTTTTCCGTTCGCAAGTTCCACTTTTTGATACAGCCAATCATGATGTAAAGCAAAGTAACCCCCGAGTTTCAACTGAACAAATGTACTGCCAGCACGTGTGTTTGTGAGGTGTGCAACTGGTGAAGAAGAAACGTCCACTCACCTGTTCGTGAACACTTAGTATCATCACTGTTTGACAGTACTTCATACACACATGCTCACGATATAGTCAGAACGTTGATTTAATGGAGATTTCTTACGATTATTGAAATGGGCTTGCCATTCGATTTTTCACTTTCTTTGACGTGAATTTCAGGAAGGAGTAAGAATTAATTCAAAATACGGACTCACTTAAAAATAACAAGCGAAAATGAATTTATTTTCTGATGCCTGATGTTGTGAATTGTTCACATTTGTCCATCTTTCTTCCAGGCACTGACAACAATAGCGGCACTTGTAACAGTACCATTCAACACCCATCACGACCTCGGATGACTGTCAGGACCAAATTGTTGATAAAGAATGTAATGAACTGAACTAGAGAAAGACAAAGTGTAGACATTAGGGTGCCTATAACACGTGTTTTTCAGGTACGTGTCATTTAGTTTTAGAAATGACAGGTATGAGCATTCTATGCAACATAGAATATGTAGTGGACTGACACAAGAGCAGTCCGTGACGCCGTAGGCTGACGCGTGGCCGGAGGAACACTTCCATACGAATGACCTGTTTATGTCAAGAAGATGCAACACATAGACAGATTCTGCTTCAAGAAGGATATGAAATGCATGAAACAAAGTGTATTCTTCTGACCAAATGTCACATTGACAGGAATATGTTGTGTTGGGGAATCACCGAAAGAGAGTAAGCTCAACTTCTTCTCGTTCCAGTGTAACTGTGATGAAACGTACCATATTCCGTGTCACTGTCGATATTGTGTCTCCGTTAACAATTTCAACAGTATGTGAATAGCCATGTTGATATACATTAAATCAATTTTACGTGTGTTGGATTAAACTACAAGCTAACTTTGTATAATTACATCTTGTTGCTTTTGTATTACAGAAATAATCAATCTGTATTACGAAGGTTTACGTCATTTTAAACAAGGATAAAATAAAAACAAATTTTATTAAATAACTAATCTGATTTCATATGGTGTCTAACGGTGGATGTATTATGTTGATAATGCATGACTTACATTTGCTACAGTGGGGTCATTCTCATCAATGTCATTTTGTTGAGTGTTTTGTACATAGCTGTGAATATACATTTCATAAGTTGAACTAGCATCCTGGAAATCTTACTTTATCTAGTCCTTATTGACAATTCTATTCGGGAATAAGGATTTTAAGTAATTCAAGTTCCTGGTAATAATGAATTTTGTTCCTGTTAACGTTAGTTTTAAATGCATATCCTATTGTTTGTATATTAGTATGTTATATCTGAATTTGTTATGATTTGTTACATATATTTATGAAGACGTTCTCCAATTTTGTTTCGCTCCAAAGTCATTAAACACATAGTCATGTCATGTGTATGACATGGTTCCGATTTCGTTGTTATTCGGCATATGATGATCATACGATTAACAAGTGTATATTGATTATTATAAGAATAGCAGATGAAAGTATTAGGAACTGACACATAGTTCACTTAAAATGATACCCTGACATTTATCAAGTGTTTGACATTTGGCGTGACGTATATCTCTATTTAATATGGAATGATAGATGACACATGATATGACTTCTTATACTTTTTTATATACAATTGAAGAACTTCACTTGATATATACATATAGTGTCTGAAATGACATGGCAATACATTAGGATCAACAGAGTTACACAAATTTGCTCTGCAAATGAAAGTCATTGAGTTTCATCTTGACCTGTTCTCGCTGAGTCCTTTCTCTTTCTCAAATGAAACACACAGTAAAAGAAGTAGGACTCCGTAACTGATCAAAATACTTCTGTGTATAAATATCAACGTATGAAGTATTGTGTATTAAAGTCTGCATAGAGGTAGCCATGTGATACAACGTGTAAATATATTCATTAGGTGGAATTGAGGTGAATATTTTGAATGTGAGCACTTGTTAATGGTCTCAAGATGTATTGGTTGTCAAGCTGTCTCAGTGTTTAAACTTAAGTATTCTAGACGTATTGTGGTGAATATACATATTGATGCTCAAAAGAACAATTTGTAACAATGCTTAGATACACTTTGTCAAATATTAATTGAATGCGCCAATACTGAGATAGCAGTTCTGTGTTCCTGCGATAACATGCTCTTTCCTCGTTTCAAAGGGCACTTCAAGGTAGTTAAGTTACATAAATAACGTTAATCTGGAGGTCTGAATCAAATTATTCCCCACATAGATTAATAGTTTCTTTTTTACCCTTGTCAATCAGTGTTACAGTTTGGTCTGCTATATGCGTCAATGTATATATTCATTTCACTACTGTTTATCACAAATGTGTGGCATTTACTGTGAATTATGTTTCTGAATAGTTTTATGTTTAGACCGGTAGACAGAATGTCAGAATTGCAAAGACCGATGGCTTCCACGGGCGAGATCTTGTAGAAATGCTACCTTTCATGAAGAGAGTTTGTATATTTTTGTATAAACATTGGGAGGTTGTGTGAAAGGTTGTGACTCGCAACGGAACACCGTGTCAATGGCTGTAACTCATTGTTCATATGCCTTACTGTTCAATTGATGTTTACTTTTTTATTTGAATAAAGGACTCCTATAAGGTGGCAGAGTTCTTATCTTAACATCATAATGAGTTCAATGCAATAAACGTACAATATATCAATCACTTACACAATTGCGGGGACGGTTGGGTAGCCCAGTAGTTCAAGCGTTCGCTCGTCACGCTGAAGACCCGGGTTCGATTCCCCACATGGGTACAGTGTGAGGCTTATTACTGGTGTACCCCGCCGTGAATACTGGAATATTGCTAACAGCGGCGTAAACTAAACTCACTCACTACACAATTGCGTGCTTCAAGGAAGAGACGAATCTTTACATGTTCACACATCTAACAAGCACGGTCAACAACACACCGTGAAAGGCGGACATGGATAATCATATTGCTTCATTCATAGGGAAATGTAACTTTATTTATTTTTATTTCTTAATATCTGACCCTTAACTGTAATTGTAGGGAAGCAAACATTAAGACTTGGGATAATTGTAACGTTTCACAATACTGTTTTGCCCGTTGATATCACATTTAGTTGGTTTATGTACCTTAGGACACAAAGAATAGAAACGTGTCATTGCATTTGTTCTGACAACTACATTGGCTGAAGTAAACTTTCTTTGGAAAGGATGAACAAGTACAATGATTATGTGTGTACAATCTGACAGCAACATAATGATGCATGTCACTTCTGACAAGTAAAACCGATAACGTCCTAGCTTCTGTCAAGTAAAATCAATACTGCACATTCCTCTGAAAAATGAAGGCCAAAAGGGTTACAGCTTAATGGTTGAAGTGTTCGTTCGACACACCAAAGACCCGGGTTCGATCCCCACATGGGTACAATGTGTGAAGCCTCTTCCTGGCGTCCGCTGCTATGACATTGCTGGAATATTGCTTAAAAACGGCATAAAACCTTACTCACTCACTACATTGGCGCAGATTCAGAGGAGCGATGAAGTAGAAAAAAAACACCATAAACACCCAAATTCTAAAAGTTTTATTAAACGATTTCAACTGCATATTATTTATACAACAGAGTGTTTACAATAACTGTCAACTATGAGCACGGCATGTGAAACGTGATGAACACATTGGTATGATAATCGGATACTGCTACAGGAACTCTTCACATACACTGTCCTTTACAAGTCACTGAATGTATATGTCTCAGCCTTGGTAATATACGTTAACAAACCCATATCGGTACGTCTACTATACTGAGCTTCTGTGACAGAATCTAACAAGTGATTTTACACCAGTGGTTACTGGTTTGCTTATAGTACCATAGCCGAACCTAATTTCCATGACATTGTTCGATCATGTTGTCATACCCTGTTTACGAATCACTGGCATGGATATATCAGTTAAATTTCAAGCTTCTGTCAACTGCGTGAACTAAACAAGCAAAACAGTCGACATCAGCTATATTCCTACAGTTTACATTAATCAAGTGTTCGCGCCTAATTTCCGGCAAGCGTGCGAACTTGGCACACACACTGAGTGTAAGTATCTGTTTACAAAGCTGAACTGCATGTTCTAGAAGTCTGGCCTCACTTATCACAAACTCATTGTCATTGTCTCTCATGAACAAAGCTGCAGTGCAACGTTGCAAGCCTCGGGGAATTACAACATGAAGGTAAAATAAACATATGTTCATATCAGTAAGGCATGAAAATGTTAATCCCCCTACCATGCTATCGCTATACATTGTACATCTCACAACCAGTATAAAGGTGGAATAAATAGCACAACAAGTAACAGAATATCAATCACCACCAAGTGCATGCGTCAATAGCAACAGCGAACCCTACCACATTATTATGCCTGGGAACCCTGACTGGAAACTTAACCACAGCAAGATGGAACAGTAGTTCGTAACTAAACACTTGCATGAAGGGAACTCTGGTCCATAACTAAACAGTAACAAGGGAGACCCTTAGTTCATGACTTAACCCAAAGCAACACCGACCATTAGTCCATAACTAAACGCTAACAAGGGAGACCCTTAGTTCATGACTTAACCCCAGCAACACTGACCATTAGTCCATAACTAAACGCTAACAAGGGAGACCCTAAGTTCATGACTTAACCCCAGCAACACCGACCATTAGTCCATAACTAAACGCTAACAAGAAAGGATCCTGGTTCAAAACTACACCCAAGCAAGAGGTACCCTCAGCTCATAACTAAACCCCAGCAACCAACCCTTAGTCCATAAGTAAACCCTACAAATACCCCTGATCAACAACTAAACAACAATAAACCCCAGCAACACTAACCCTTGATGCATTACTAAACACTAACAATATTGAACCTGGTCCAAACCTGCAGCCGAGCAAGAGGGACCATTTGATCGTTGCTGAATCAGAGCGACACCAACCCTTAGTCCATAACTAAACTCTAGCAAGAATGAACTTAGGACATTGTCCATATCTACAACCCTTGAAAGTGGAAATCCCGGTCCATAACTAAACCAGCGTAGGGAAACATACGTACAACACTTAACCCTAGCAAGAATGTCTCTTAATCAATAACAAAACCCAAAGCAATTGGGGGCACTACTAAACTAAAACCAAAACGAAAAATTCAATTTCAACTGCTCAGCTGAGGCGTTCACGTCCAGATGTAATTTATCTCCGCCAGATCAACAAACTTCACAAATAGAAACTTTATTCATAAGAAGTAGCTATACACGGAAGTGCCGATGTGACGTTTGCCATACATTTGCAGTTTAGATTATCATACACAATCTACAATACCTATACACATACACAGGGCTTCCAACATCAAAACACTACTAAATTTCAATCTACGCTTATGCATCACAACCAACAATTTTAATTATCACATTGTTTCAATCAGTTTGTTAACATGTAACAACTAACGTGGGATACTGAAAACAACTTTAACGCACATACGTCTAACTCGGGGACAGAAATAAATCGTTGTTCTAACATACCACGAGGGTATATAAAGAAACCTGCATGCTATAAACATCAATTATAAATTCTTATACATACAAACGAACAAGGATTTGGTAGAAAAGAACCACGTATGTTGACTGGGAATGAACACAACAAGGGTATGTATGTTGCAAGTATATCAGTTATTCAAAACATGATTGTTATGGCTATTTCGTCCTTAGGTATACACTGAAGCCTCTCTAATCCGAACATCTCATATTACGGCCATTTAGTTTCTATGTGTATGGGTGTATCCATTCCGGTTGATATTAGAATACATGAAATGATACTGGTTACCCTTCCAGGTTTTCGGTATTAAGGGGATAAAACCAGAAATATACGGTTCAAAGTCAACGTATAATGAGTCCGACTTGGGTTATACACCACGTTACACCCCAACATGTGGGCTGGTGTTATATAACCGGTATTAGTCCGGATTATACACACCACAGAGAGAGAGAGAGAGAGAGAGAGAGAGAGACGAAACAGAGAGAGAGAGAGAGAGAGAGAGGGGTAGAGAGAGGAAAGAATATTTAACTCGACGTTAGCCCCTTACGTAACACCGCACCTTAGCTCATATAAGAAAAAGGCTCAATGTATATAGTTCGTTAACCAGAACAGGACACTAGAACCCATACAGTCCGGATTAGTGGGGCTTCAGTGTATGTACATAAATATGTTTTTCAACTCCATCACAACAATCAATGCAATCCACGCACAAAGTGAAACAAACAAAAGTACCTCAAATGATATTGACATGGACATAACGTCATTGTAATAATCCTATTGAATCTGAGCATTATGGAGTGGTAATCTGACAATACGATAATGGATTGCACTGAGATAAGACACAACTTGCATATGCTGATACTTCAAGATTATCACACATAACACGCTTAACACGGACTTAAGTCGTACATTTTCCAAGCCAGGTACAAAGAATGATTGTCCACTAAAATGATGAAAAAATATTATAGCTGAAAAGAAACTTCGAAAGTACACTACAACGGTCTATAAATGTGTGTTATCAGTGTTCGACACAACGCTCAACATATGTGTAACACACCAGAAGTACATGCTGCGAACACCAATGCTGCGCACCATCATGACCTAGCCAACAAGCAGAGAATCTTTCCCATTCTGCCTCGGCTAAATGTTTCACATATTACGATGAAAATATGAAGGCATTTAATTTACACATAACGGGTCAACAAGACCTATGCAGAATATTTAGCCATGCAGGCATGTATAACAGCCAAATGTCTGATTCATTCTCTTCAATACGTCACAATTATGCGATCAGAGAATGGTCTTTGGCGACAAATGAACCCACACATACACACACATCTATGAAGCACACACATCATGCCTCATGTGTTATTGTTATTGTTAATATTAATAATAAGCTTTCATAAAATGAAAGGGTCATCTACATGTGACTGGGGACATGTTCACAGATATGTGATGTTGTCTGCAAGGTGTCTTTTTCAACGATCCCATCACCGGCTGCAGTGACATTACCATGGTTCATCTCAGCAGCATAGGGTATTCAACCTGTTTGCCGTTGTCCCAGCCGTAAATTCGTTGGCGTCGAGGGTTGAAAGACACCATGTTATTGTGGCTGTATGGATTTATAAAACGAATATTGGCGTTTTTCCCCCTTTCTTTGTACATGTCAAAAGCGTACACAATCTTAGTGATGGATACGCTTGTATCTTGTATAAAGTATAAAACGCCACATATCACAAAACTGTTACCATAGTAACCCGACCGCACACCCGCATCAATTGACTTGATTATTTTCAGTGAGTCAGGGTTAAGCATTGCAATATGAACCATAGACTCATCTGCATCTTTTCCATACACTACCCACAGTCCATTCTTGTCAACAGCAAAATCATAATAATTACGTTTAGAAGAATATAAAAACATTTCATGCGAGTGTGCTGAGAATTTAATTGACCCGACTTCTTTGATAATTTTCTGTCCAAGGTCAAACTTGACGATTTGGTCTCCTCCTCTGACGTGGTAGTACAAGAAGCCCCGATACACCACGTGACCGGTGCCATAGTACCTCGTGATTCCCAAGTCGGCGATTTCCATTGGATTGTTATTCCGAAATTCGCGATCATCCTGGTATTTGTAGACTTTGTTTCCGGTATAATTGTACGTAACCCAAACGGCTTTAGCATTAGCCGGAGTAGTCGGGTCGGTGTCATACATCCAAGCACCCCATTCCTGGTCTTTGATTGTTTTAAACAAGGGTTTACCAATTACTCGCAATGAACAAACTGAAAGACAGAAAAGAAGACTTTCTTTAAATCAATACTTCAGTATGTTGCTTACATGCCCAAATATACTTCGTTTCAACAGTTTAGACTCACTTAAAACCCTAACTATACGTTATATAATCTTTTCATGACAATAATCTTTTCAACGTTACGAATTTGTTTTATAATACATCAGTTCATGTGTAAGCAGTACCTTTAAACAGTATGGAATATTTTGCAAAGTTTAGTTTAGAACAGTTGCCTGAAGTAAGTAAATATATTTAAACTAGTAAGTCTAAACGTTTGAATCGAAGTATATATACACCTTTACGTATGATAGTCAATATAGGATGTCAAGATATTATTTCACATCTTAGCTTATTTATCTTATTGTAAAATATGTTTCTGCTTAGCAAAAAGCGTGTGTAAACGCACTCTCTAATAAAACACGTTGATCAAATTTAATTAACATCACATCGCTACAAAACAGTATTACAGTATTTCGTAACTGACGAGCATGTTGTATTGAAATGGAAGCAGTATACAGTGAAATCTCATTAGTCGATATGCAGAGACGTAAGACCCCGACGAAACTAATATCCAACTCAGGTGGTCATTGGTATGCGTGGACCAGACAATCCAGTGAATGATATTGTGAGTAGCTGTCAACCCATTAATATATTCACCGATCCTGACCACCCCATCCACGTCCCCACCAACTCTGACCAGCATTTCCAAAATCCCCACTCGGTTCGGATTAATGAGGGTTCACTGTACACATATATAAAAAACATGTTATTAAATAACATACATGAAATAAATAAAACATATTGTACGGCACTACAATGATACAACAGCAAAGGCGAATACAATGCATATACATGCATATTGTGTATATTAATAATGTTGATATTAAACTGTGAGGAGTTTGGCATGCAGTGATGAATCGTACCCTCCCATCACTAAGTGAATTTGTCCTTGTATTTCTTCTATACACGGACATTTATGCGTAACCCGTCTGACATTATTTTCCCAGTTTTCAAAAGACTTTCACAGCAATCCCATTCTTCATTGTCCCGGTTTTTTTCTACGCCCACTCCGTAGTGAGTTTTTTTTTTCAATCAAAGCAAAAACAAACTGAAAGGTTACAGGAACGCGACGTAGGCTACGACAAATACAACACTTATGTCCTACGTCATTGTACTCAGCAGGTGGGGAAGCACGTGGTGGCTTGATAAATGTAATGTAGCACCGGAGTTTCTGGAGGATCTAGCACCTGAAAATATTACCACATACACATTCATTATCAGTTGTGTTGAGGTTACCGTAGTGTATCCAATCCATGCTGGACTTACGTATTTGGTAAAAAGCAACCACGGTAATTTGTAGGGCGAGACACGGCCCAAACGTTGTATAAAGGGCTACGTTTTCAAACTGTCGCGTTACTCACCTGTCGGGATTATACAATTTTCATTTCGAAAATATTTTCTATCACTAACGTAACTCACAATATCTCCCATCATATACTTCCTACACCGTTCACGTATCTTTAGGAGTACAAAAGTAATAGAATACTATGTGATCCCAATAGTACTTGTGAATGTGAATTATGTGTCATACGAGCCATTAGCAGTGACAGATTTGCTATCAGGGATGGGTGATGCTGGTTCGGAAGATGCTGTTGTATAGTGAATTCTAGTCAACTCTATCATGTACGCTATTCTAGTTCTTCCGCTAAGCCGTGTTTGTTTCCGCTATGTGGATAGCGTTCGTGGTCAGGTTCCTCTTGTCCTGGTGACAGCTCTCGCTCGCCTTATCTTCACACAGGATTAACGTCTGACCAACGTGACGAGGACTTACTTCACCTACTTTGTTGTCGTCGCCTTCATCGTGTGGTACCATCGTGTGCATGGACTACGACGACCACAAACTGCGTCTTACATGCATCAAGAAATGACAATGGTTTTACGCCGCTATTAGCAATATTCCAGCAACATCACGGCGGGGACACCAGAAATGCGCTATCAGGGGGAATCGAACCCGTGGCGAGCAAACGCTTTACCAATTAGGCCTTCGAAATTCCCCGCTGTTGCAAAGTCAGTGAACGCTATAAAGTACGGTTGCAAAAAAATGCAATACATTTTAAATGTACAGAAATGCTTTCAAGTCTTCTTAGTGATCACAGAAAAAAAGATATAACTTGCTGATATTTGCTGATTTATAGTGACTACGACATGCCGGACGCGGGCGAACCAGAAACTGGTCATAAATATTGTAATGGATAGGGCATACCCAAGGGAGATAACCATGCTGTTACAAAGTCCATAACATAGTGTGTTGCGATCATTATACAAAACATGACGGAACCGCAAAAGTTGATGTTATTTGTGCTGAATGGACCGATTATAGGCACCTGTCTACTTGGGCGTACAAGACAGGAACTATATCAACTTAGCCAAGTTAGTCCATCAAAATAAGACTACAAAGACAATGGACAAAATTACTTCTTCAAATTGTAACATATCATGACGATAAGGTTGTCAAAATTGGAGAGGGTTTGAGGGTGGGTTGGGGTGGGGAGGGGGCTGGCAAATTATTGTCATGAGTATATATACAATTAGCAGTTTAACTTTATAGTGTACATACTTCCACAAACGTCATGTCTTGCTAAATGGAGTGCTAGTTGCTCAATAAGATTTGCTCACGGAATTGTGGAGACATTTGACTTTCTCACATTCCGGTTTCCGCTAGATGATGTTCAACATCATGCATTAAGAATCATCACAGATACATGCACTGTGACACGGATACTTTCTGAGACATACTTGTGCCTTGGAATTATTTATGCACAGTCTCAAGAACACAGTTGTCTGTTTAACTGAAATGTTTTTGACCTTTCCGCGACGAAGATGGTGATCGAATGACTCTTGTATTGATTGATTGTTCCGGATAGTGTCACAGACACAATGAGGGTGTGTTCTTAAACTATGGTTCCATTTGTTTGTGTCTGGGTTACACATATCAACAATTGTTTAGACGAATCTTGTCAAGTCGTGTAGGTATAATGTGAAACACAAGCGCGCGCACATGCATGTATGCATCCATGCATATATACATACATACATACATACATACATACATACATACATACATACATACATACATACATACATACATACATACATACATACATACATACATACATACATACATACATACATACATACATACATACATACATACATACATACTAGTGGTGATCCGATTAATTGAAATAATCGAAGATTGGTCGCAGTGACTAAACGACCAAGCAATCGATCCCGTTGTCTCATAATCGAACACAAACAATTCTGGAACACTTGTTTTCATCAACAATATTTTTCACAAGGTTGGTTTTGTCTGTTACATTTCATAAGCATTATAAGCTCGTTCCAAGTCATGATTGAATTTATCTTAAAGACACCAAGAAATGTATGTTCCTAACATACTAGTCATCCTTTAGAGATGTGAAATTTTGCCCAAATCCCCAAAATAACTACATGTATTTTTTCCTTATTTTTTTGTGCATTAACAAATTTCATAAATGACGCTAACCAATTATTTCGATGATTGATCGGTGGTAATGAACCAATCATCAATTATGAGATTTTAACCAATTCCCAACACTAATACATACATACATTTTATATACAGAGCAGAACGTTTCCTGATGACCTTTAACTCTGGAAACTCAGTGTGGAGTTTGTACTGAATCTGGATGCTGTTAGTTTGTAGCCACACATGCTACCAGGCATATATAGGAGTACTCACTACTTTTCCGTGGTGGCAACACTGGGATAGGCGTTGTGGTCGTTGTTGTGGCTAACACATATGATTGACACAGGTTTAATACGGACATTCCAAACGGAAATAGATACGATGGTGTGTATGCCGTAGCACACTATCAACATGATAGTTGGGTGGCATTTTGATACATAGCACGTATTCGTGAAAGGATTACATGTGAAAAAGTAGATTAAGATCAAAAGTAGCTAATGGCTGTAAACATTTCTTCTTCTTTAATTACGTACCCGAGGAACATAATTGTTGGTTGGTTTGTTGCTTTAACACCGCACTCAGCAATATTCAAGCTATATGGCGTCGGTCTGTAATGAGCATCGATCTCAGCAATTGGGAACCGATGACATGCCTGACCACCCGATCCCGTTAGTCGCTTCTTACGACAAGTCATGGATTACTGAAGACCAATTCTAATAAGGATTTTCACGGGTGCCGATGAACATAAGCCAGTTGATAAAATAATAAAAGGAGTTAATATTTTATTGTCGTTGGTACTGTGTGGGTAGAATGACATTGTGAAGTATTCCTATAGGAAATATCGACATCGGTATCAAAACGTTACAATTGCCTTAACACGCCGTTCAGTGTTCATTTCAGCAGTCATGACTTAATGAGCAGATCGTGTGTTCGCAGAACCACCCCATTTAATCCCCGTTTGTAAGAACCATATATACCACGGCCCTCTGGCATGAAGTAATCTTAGAGCTACGACTGTCGTAAGTCTACGTTTAAGAATGGGAGTTACGATCGTCGTAGCGCTGAGGTCGCAATTTGCCATTGATGCACTGAGTTTTCCACGGTAATATGTGTTACAGTGGCTTCATCCCACATAGATATGACATGCAATGACGTCACTGAGTTCTCTTTAAACCCGAATCACACAACCGCCAACGCTTGAGAATAACCACTTCGAATAATTTCATTATCTGAAACCGATTCCCCTCTGCAGTCTAACAGACCTTTGCTAACACTAATGAAAACGTTCCATTCTTCCTTTCGTTCCTATTTCCGTTATCAACCTTTACACACTATAAAACAAAAGCCGTGTATTTATAGTGTCATGGAATGGTTCTCACCTAACGTTGTCGCCACTGTAGTTGATTTGCCACTACATCGAACTGAAACAGATAACGAGGTGGTATAACTTTACAGTAACTGCATTGGTATTGGTTACAAGTATTGGTTATAGGGACAACCATGTGTAGCGTTAGCTTTCATAAGTGCAAACAGGAAATATCTAAACTCAATGCGGACTCGCATGCCGCAGTGTCAAAATGAGTTGGAAGTGAGTGCTTCCAATCGGAGAAACAGCCCAGTCATCACCATGCCAACTAAGTATCATTAACCTCAACACAGAACCATGTACTTCCAGTCTGAAGCTTCCAGGTCTGTAAACACAGTGCATTTCAGAAAGTGGTCAAACGTAACATATGATTTATGCGGGATAACACTTTCGCGGTAGAGTACAGAATCTCGTCTTATGTTTTGGTTGAGTTGCACATGGGATTCGAAACCAAATATAACATATGTCAATTTCTAGGTTGTAGTGCAACAGTTACCAACTCTAAAGGTTGTACATGTACAGCTAGCACGGCCAATACAACCACGTTTGATGAATGTAATCATACACCAGCAGCAAGACTGAACGCTGATCTAGGACTTATCTTGTCAAAGGTGAGGACCTCCCTAGAGAACGTATCAGTAGGTGTAGTGGTATCTGCAAACCCTACGTTTTCAGAAAGTGTAACCACAAATGTACTTTTTAGATTATTTATTGTGGGGAGTTGGGGTGGGGGTGGGGGAGGTTACTACGGGTGGGTGGAAGTGGGGGGATTTGTTTCAGGGTACACAGGCATTTATTGGATATGAATTATAGAGTTAGTGAGTGAGTTTAGTTTTACGCCGCACTCAGCAATATTCCAGCTACATGGCGGCGTTCTGTAAATAATTGTGTAGTCGCCATTATATATTATGTCAAAAACCTTAAAGGCGTGTCCTTTTAGAGGGCTGCACATTATGTTCTAATGATGCTAATGAAGTACATAATTAAGCATCTCACCTGGACATATACCATCATCGCCACGGTTTCCTTTAATACCCTTCGGGCCCATTGGTCCTGCGAGGTAAAATTGTATTCAACATCCAAACATTGTCAACACAAAAAAACATTATCAAACAAAACTGAAAAATACTTTTTTGTTAAATTGCAAACAGCAATAATTGTTTCTGTCACATATTGTTACTGAGTTGTTTACTGTGGCTACATTGTAAATACTACGATCAATCTCTGTCATTAAAACAGTAGATTGTTCTCATCTTAGACGTTCTTTGAAGGTCGACTGATAAAATATTTGTTGTCAATGAAATAACTAACCCATCTGACCGGCACTCCCCTTCTCACCTGAAAAGATACAAAAAGGGAATAACCTGTATGGACGGCGTATCATTCGGGTCTGAGGACACAAAAATAATACTAATGTGTGAGGAGATTTATTAAAACGACGAAAATACTGCACAAGAAAAATAAACAAAATGCAACCATCCAGCAAATTAAACAGGTCAGTTGAACGGTGACCTTGACCTTTATTAATACAGCGCTGAGTCGATGGCGTTATTCAGGAAGAGCCTTGCAACACTTTATCAAATACCATTCTGTTTTATCTAAGGAACACCGGTACGCAGATTTTGATAGCACACTGACATTAGATGTGTTTTTGCTTGCTTCGTTGATAATAATTGTATCTTTCCAAAGTCTTGCATAACATGTCTTCAGACTGAAAAAAAATGAATCACATGTTCTCATGTTTCATACTTGCATAAATGTCATTGGCAGGTAGTAACTCACATGCTGGTTTTGTGCTGTTACTATCGTATTGTGTTGCTCATTTAACCATTCTTCATAAAATGCAATCTTACTTCTGGCAGTGAGGTCAGTACAATGCAACCTTGTGAATCCAAACTCCTCGTGGTAATAGGTTTCGAGTGACAGTGAACCTGGGAGAATTGGCCATAAGAAGCCTGTGGTTTATGCAACTGTCAGGATTAGAGCTTCGTTATAAATATCTGGGTACTTGGAATTTGAGAAGCTCTTTTTTGTGAAGAGGATTAATTAGAACTCGAGGTGCAAGAAGATCGAGGGACACTGTTGTATAAAGTGTATTTATTAATGCTCGAGGGACAATGTTGTACAAAGTGTATTTATTAAAGTTCGAGGGACACTGTTGTATAAAGTGTGTATTTTTAAGCTCGAGGGACAGTGTTGTATAAAGTATATTTATTAAAGTTCGAGGGACAGTGTTGTATAAAGTGTATTTATTAAAGTTCGAGGGACAATGTTGTATAAAGTGTATTTATTACAGTTCGAGGGACAATGTTGTATAAAGTGTATTTTATTAAAGTTCGAGGGACAATGTTGTATAAAGTGTATATTTTTAAGCTCGAGGGACACTGTTGTATAAAGTTTATTTATTACAGCTCGAGGGACACTGTTGTATAATGTGCATTTATTAAAGTTCGAGGGACACTGTTGTATAAAGTGTATGTATTAAAGCCCGAGGGACACTGTTGTTTGTATTAAAGCTCGACATTGTTAACGTCATATTTTGGGGGATCAAATGAGGGATAAAAAATGAATATTTGGTCACTGTCGACATCTAAATTACAGAAATATACCACTCTGACCAAACACCTTGATTTGGGGGATCGAACGGAATAGCAAATGTGACTGGATGTGCCACAATTGATGATTGAGGCGACCGACTGACGTGTGTCCTGTTATCGGTAAACTGAAATCAATAGGGGTAAAGATAATACCATACGCTGTAGTCTCCGTTGGCCTTGACCTTCAACAGAAAACGTGTCCAGTAACGGTGTCATGCTGTTAGTATCTTTACGTAACAGCACTTATAAATGGTGACCTTCACTTTACCTATCTGCACTTTATAAATGGTGACCTTCACTTTACTTATCTGCACTTTATAAATGGTGACCTTCATTTTACAAACGTTTGAAGTGAATGTCAATACCACAGTGGTCTGTAAATAATTAAGTCTGGGCAAACCACTGGGGATTACACCCAATCAACCATTCAAACTGGAACCTAATTCAAAGCATTTAATCGGCTTTCACGACAAGAATGCAGTTTCAAGTGACCAACTCCACCGCGAATGCTGCACATGTAAATAGGATTAGCGTCTTATATAAGATCAATAAAGGTTATGCATTTATATTCTAACAATTGTGTCTCTCTCAGAGACCTTGAATGTGACCTGGAAATTAAGGTATCTATAATTCATTTTGGAATATCCTTAAAATGAATCATTATGACATCCGAGTCTGATTAACGTGTATTCTGTAAGGAACGCTCAGAGTCGCCTATTCAAACAAGTGACACAAGCTTAAGCTCATTTAAAGGCGTAGCACGACTTCGCAACTGACAGTACAGATCGTTGGTAAAGGTACACGCTTCGAGGTAGACAATGGGTAGTCATCAGAATGAGTGGCATGTTTTGGTTATTTATTATGCATTGCAGGCACTATCATGCATAAACCTGGAGTGGGTCACCTGATGTGACTGAGTTACTTTTTTTCTTATTTTAAGGATGTTTCCATGTCTATGTGGTAACATACATTAGCATGATATTTATGACGAATTGACAACCATTTGGAGATATTACGTACTAGTACTTATATGACAGGTGTTGCATCTTGCTTGCAGCAATCGTATCACTTCAGATGTTCTAACTGCCAATATTTAACAGGTATCGTAATTCCAATGGGTGTTGGTTCTGCGGGTATTTGGTATCTATATCTCATCTGTGCAACTTATTTGTCCAAACCGTAAGATGCTGGCATGCAGAGAGTTCCTATATATTCACAGACATTCAATGAATGTTGTTTAAAACACTTGCAGCACGATTCACGATGACAATAAATATCAAAATCATATAAGTCAGTCTTATAAATTTTGAAAGCCTAAGCATTCGCCCATGTTACAGGGACTCGATTCCAGTATTAGTGAGTGTATGGTCGGTGAAAGTCACCAACACGTGAACTAGCTACCATTGGAATGTGTAGGTTCTATACATGTTAGAGGCATGTCTTCCTTAGAATACCTGGCATCCCCTTGCTTCCGGGCTGTCCAGCTTCGCCCTGACGGCCAGGGCGACCTCTCCGACCTGCAAACATGCATTCATGCAAGCACACATGCCGATAGGGAAAACATGCGTTTTAGGGTAGAACAAGGGTATAATAGGTAGATAGACTACGGAGACACGAGTATAATGGTTTAACCAGAACTAGGTCTAACATGCAGGTCAGGCAAAGGGTTATGATTACACAATGCCATTTAGAAAGTGGTCAAATGTAACATATGTTATATTTGGGATTACATTTTCATAGTAGAAGTTGAGCGGGTTATACGGATGACTTTGTGTGCTGGCGATCAGGTGCCTGACACTGAGAGTGTGGGTTCGAATCCCGATAGGACTCAACCTAACAAAAAGAACTAGAATCTGTACTTTACTGAGAAAGTGTAATCCCAAATATGACATATGTTATAAAGGGTTAGGAACTTTTGGCACATGTTATAGAAATTCAGAAGGAATAGAAAACACAATTAGAGTAAAATTAGAGTGACAATATTGTAGAAGTAATGAGAAAGTATAATGAAAATTATCAAGGTATTTGCTGAACTAAAGCGGCAGTCAAAGAAGAGGGTTGAAGCCGTATTGAAAACCTCTAATATGTGAAGTAGAAGTAAAGAGTTTATACAGTTTCTTTACTCACATGCGCATGATGCCGACACGCCAGTCCATCCTCTGACGCCCTGGTCCCCCTTTGTTCCCTTCAGGCCGGGGACTCCAGGGACGCCACTGCTCCCCCTCTCCCCATCCTTTCCCGGCTCTCCTTTATCCCCCTTTTTACCCCGCCTCCCAGGGACTCCGTCAGTACCATTCACACCTGGCTCACCTATACGCAAACATATAGTAGATAATCAATAAATCAATATACAAGACTAATATAAAGTAAGAAATATGTTTCATTAATTGTTTATAGTACATAAATTAAATACATAAATAAATTTATCTCATTTTGAATTACTCATTAACGTAGGCCTATAACTTGAGAGTGGTAACTTAAGTATTGCACAAGTCAAAGACCTTTTATGTTACTGCTGATTCTGTTGTCAAATGTAACATTTTCTGGCTAAATGTCAACGGTCTATATGGTTGCACAAATTAAAGATGACAGCTGATACTTGTCACCAAACACGTCCATACATCCAAATCTTTTACATCTGCTGGTTTATGAATGTGATACCTTGAAGCGAATATAAGACACGCAACAGGAGCATGAACATGAATGTAATTGAATTACTAGCTGACATATCAAGCCGGGTATTGCTGTAGGTACTTTGTAAATGCAGAATGACCGCAATGAGAAACGTGAGATTCCAGCAACTCAACAAGCCAGGAATCTCATCATCCAAACAGCTGGAGGATGCCTCCATACAAGCACGTATACATGCAGAATAATCATATTCTGTATAATGGAGCGGTGGGGTAGCCTAGTGGTTAAAGCGTTCGCTCGTCACGCGGAAAACCCGGGTTCGATTCGCCACATGGGTACAGTGTGTGAGGTTCCTTACATATGTGCCGTAATATTGCTGGAATACTGCTAACAGCGGCGTAAAACCATACTCACTCACTCTGTATAACATGTTATTGTCGCTAATCTCACCTTGCTTAGTGAGTGTTTGTTTAATGCCTCCTTGAACTGAATTTCAGTTAAACAACTGTGTGTCAGCTTCATAGGGGAAGGGGGAGACCCGCCATGATGCAAATCTTGGCATTGGTTAATCAAACGAGCATAGCTATGGTGCTGACAAAGGTAGAAACGTCATGAATGTGAATCCAAGTTTCGAACCAAAGATCTGCACATAGAATTGCTTCCTTCGACTGCAGCCATAGGCCCTAACCTGGGTTTCGGATACTGCACAGAACCATTACTCTTAAAGGCAAAACAGACGTGAAAATAAATGAACGGATGACCGGGAACAAAAAGGTGTTCTTGGAAGACTGCTAAATGGGGAGTGTAATACCTTCTTATGTAATTACATGTTATTCCAACTCACCAGGTATCCCAGGTATTCCGTCTGTACCATCCTTCGCTGTTAAGCCCCTGGGTCCAGAAGGACCTAGTGCACCGACTTTACCTGGGAAAACAGGAAAAGGTAATATACATCCGTTCCGTATTGTAGTGCACATGATCAACTCTAACTGAAAGTTTACAGAAATCGTTCACCAATATAACAGGTATATCTTTGACTGCTTGTGTTGCAATGCGCGTTTAAACACTTATATATTATTTGGTTGATTATGTGCATGTACAACAAAACCCCGTTATTCCGGAGACTACCGTTTCGATGAAATTGTCAGGATTAATAAATATTCGGATTATGGACACCTTGTTGCCAAATACTGTTCCAATGTGTATTGCATGTGCGTTCCATATATGTCCGTCCGGAAAACGGGCTCAACTGAAAGGGTTCGTATTACTGAGGTTTCACTGTTCCCTAATCAGCCAGGCAAAAGAAACCGTAAACTAGAAAAACTTTTTCAAACGTTACATATATGAAAACTTAATATCCAAAACATAAAATTGATATCGGTAAGAAATATACTCTCCCAAAAAGAAACGCATCATGAAAATAGCAATTTCATGTAGCAATGAATTAAAACGTGATTCATTTTACAAAAGGTTTTGCACAACAAAACGCACCATCCGTAAAATATCCGTATTTAACAGCATGATTTTCAATTTCGGCGTGTAGTAACACAGAATACACAATTCACATGCAATGCACGTGAAAGTTGGGGATCAGATAGTCTCAATGATGGGTATAAAAGGTTGATCGCTGTCTGTCGATTATTCACTGTATTTGGAATATTGTTGACGAACGCAAAATGCCAAGTCTAAGTGAAGCCAACCGTCACATCGCCATTAGTTTGCTTGAAGCTGGTCTCAACGTGCAGTTGCCCGACGCATGAATGTTCACCAAAGCACCATTTCACGGCTCTGGGAGAGATATCGCCGGCAGAATGCGGTAGCAGATGCCCCTCGGAGTGGGCGACCTCGAGCGACCACTTCGGCGCAGGATCGCTACATCCGGGTACATCACCTGCGTCATCGAACAGCTACGGCGACCAGTACCGCTCGACAAATACCCTGATTGAGGAGGCTTTCTGCACAGACCGTCAGTAACAGGTTGAGAGAGGCAGGTTTACGTGCCAGAAGACCTTATTTTGGCCCTGTGCTTCGACAACAACATCGTCGACATCGAGTTCAATGGTGCACCAACGTTCAGGCCTGGAACCTACCGAATTGGCGTAGAATCTGGTTCAGTGATGAATCACGATTTCTATTGGAACGACGCGATGGAAGAATGCGTGTGTACAGACGTCGACGTCAACGTTTCCCCAGGTGGACAGATTCGGCCGGGGCAGTGTTATGATGTGGGGAGCGATCACCTGCCGTAGGAGAAGTGATTTGGTGATGATCCAGGGCAACCTGACAGCTCAACGGTACTGTGACGAAATCCTACGCCCACACCTCCTTCCAATCATTGATCGCCAGAGGGAGTTGTTTCAACAGGACAATGCCAGGCCCCACACAGCACGTCAAACTAGAGACTTCCTCCAGAACCACAACATCAATGTGCTCCCCTGGACTTAAACCCGATCGAACATCTGTGGGATGCCCTGGACAGACAGGTGCGACGCCGTAACCCTCAGCCCCAGACACTTCAGCAACTCGCACAGGCACTACAGGCAGAGTTGGCTGCGATTGGGCAACACGAGATTCTGGGACTTATTCGTTCGATGCCGAGGCGATGCCGTGCAGTTCTGGATGCCCACGGTGGTCACACGAGGTATTGACTTCAGCGCCACCTCACGTCTCCATGTGACACTCAAACTGACTTTCCTTGAGTTGGTGCCAAAGACGGATAAGTCTGCATTCCCAGTGTGCAATGTCGCTATATTTCATTGACTCATAACAAGTACAAGATGTTTCAAAATAAACATAAAAATACAGTTGAAATTCCTATATGCGTTTCTTTTTTGGGAGAGTATACATCACGGGAGAGAACCCTTCCTTTTTGTTTTACTTTGAGCCACCAAGAAAGAAAGATATGTGTATACTTTCTTTTCACTGTCAGTTTATGTAGGTGTTTGTTAGTTGTGTAATAGCGATAATACAGAGTTGTAAGAAAACATGCTTGTTATATTTGTTCTTATCATGCGTGACAGTATGACATAAAGAATTCAGCCAAAGTCATCTGTGTCCAGCCGATAGCATTCACTGTTGTCAGCGTAATCAACTCTGCCTACCTTGATTTCATGCCCTGTTTAACAGAGCCCTTTAATCGGTTCGGTAAAGGTTATTAAAAACTAACGAGGTACTAGGCTTGGAAACGGGCCAAGTGTTCTTTCGTTGTTGTCGACTGGCCTAGTTTTCGGTTGTTCGACTAATCAAAGATGCTATTTTAAATAGTAAACAAGACCGTTATTGGATGACTGCCTTGGAATTTAACAAAGCGAATATAACAAGTAACCAAGCTCAGAACCTGATCCATGCTATCAACGCCTTATCGCCTAGAACATATCATGTTCTCGTCATTAACCATACGTCCTTCAGTTGACCAGTCTTTTGATGTATGTCTTCATTTAACATCAGTGTTTGAGGCCGCCATGTGAGGACTTCACAGTAAAGGGAGATAACTGCATACAACTCACTTCAATGATGTGGACACGAGCGCAATGTAACACGACACGAATATAATTCACATTATCCTCGGTCTAGGTCAACGTGATCCTTCGAGGGTTGTTCTACATTCTGTCAAATATAGAATACGTTCAGTCTTGTAATGTTATATTGCAGTTAAATACCTCTTTAAAAGGAGATATTAATTTAGCTTCGTATGCTGTTTCCCTAAGGAACTGCAGAAAAGGGCTTTATAAAACAATCATACGTTGTCTTTTTTTTAACTGAAGTCTACACTCTTGAAAGCAATTTCTTTCATGATGAGTGAACGTAAATTATCATCAGCTATACAATATAAAAGGAGACGTTTCAAGTTTCGAATATTGATTATTGTGAAAAACACGGATCATACAAAATGCATTAGATATTAAGTTATGTTGGGTTATATACAATGACATGAGATTAATTTGAATTACAAAGCAGTTGGGGATTTGGATCTTCGCTGTGTGATACATGTGAATAGGGGTAAATTGATCGTTGTATGCCTTGTCAATCCGTGTTATTGAAGTATTGCATGTTATCAAAGTATTGTTAGTACTGCGTGACGTATGACGAGAGTAACATGCACCTGAGGGACCTATCTTGCCAGGAAATCCCAGGAGTCCTCGTTCCCCTTTCACTCCGTCATTACCAGGAATACCAGTTTTTCCTGGAACAGATGTTAGTGGTGCAGGGATAGGAAGGGTTAGTTCATGTCGTTGCAAGCATATACTGTGGACATACAGAGAAAACGTGATGTTTTGAATACATTCATGCAAGTGAGTGAGAAGAGATGCAATGAGAGTTACTTGAATATATTGGTTGGTTGATTCATTGGTTTGTTGTTTTACGCCGCACTCAGCAATATTCCAGCTATATGACGGAGGTCAGTAGATAATCGAATGATTGACATTATGAGCATCGGCTGGTTGAGTATGGTTTTACGCCGTTTTTAGCAATATTCCAGCAATATCACGGCGGGGGACACCAGAAATGGGCTTCACAAGTTGTACCCATGTGGGGAATCGAACCCGGGCCTTCGGCGTGACGAGTTAACGTTTTAACCACTAGGCTACCCCACCGCCCCCTAAACAATTGGGCTCCCATGAAATGCATCAACTAAGTCAGCGAGCCTGATCATCAGATCCCGTTAGTCGTGGCTTACAACAATTAAGCATGGGTTGCAGAATACAAACTCTCATCTTGATCTTCATCGGTCTCCAAGTAATCTAAACGGGACCACCCATCACCGGTGTGTATTGAGTCTATTTAACCATGGCCATTGTTCTTCAGTAACACGTATAACTTACCCGGAAGTCCATCCTTCCCATCTCTCCCTTGTGTTCCGGATTGACCACGTGTTCCCTTCATTCCTTGCGGCCCAGGCGGTCCCATTGGCCCCATGTCCCCTGGGTCCCCATGATCCCCTGAAGACAGACAAAATGGCATCAACAGGCGTTCGTCAAAACAGATTATTATGGTTAAAATGGTTAAAAGAAATGTGAAGCAACGTTAATTTGCCGTAAGAGGCACCTGAAGGAATGGGGTGGTCAGGCTTAGTGACAAGGTTAATTGCTTGTCATTGTACCCTGACGAAACGAATCTTTACTTATAACATCAGTTCTGTATGGAATCCGAGAAGGGACATTGTCGCTATGTCGCATTGTCGCCCTTTGGAGGAATAGCAAAATATTATTCAAAACGCGACATGCGACAAATGGCCGAAAAGTCGCGTTGTCTCATTGTCGCGCTTTGGTTAATTTTGCCTCATTTTGCTTGTTTTCGAGAGGGCGACAACGCGACAATGCGACAACGCGACAATGCCCCTTCCAGAATTCCATAGTTCTGAAATATCTACCAAAGGCTTATTCTTTTATAAGCTGTCGTCTTACAGCCGGATGACAGCGACCCTGTGCAAGGAACAAAACCATATGTTATATCAACGAGTGTAACATAGTGAGACATTGACCCGATATGAAGCCTATCACCAACCGTCAGATATATTCGACTCTAATTCAGCAAGAGTGGACCAACGTTGTGTTGGGGCTGGAGGGCTCTTAGCGGGGCACCAACTACCATAACGGGATACACAAAGCCATTTAGAAAGTCGTCAACATAACCATCAAACCATCAAGATAAATACTGTACTGACGGGTTCTTCGTACTACTTTTATATAGTACTAAGACACCGTCAGTGACAGTATATACCTTGATGGCAGTTTTTAGCGTTACAAGCCCCTGTGAACATGACTATTATCTCTCCAGAGTGGTATTCTTATCGGTAACGCACTATATTTAGCTACATAATTATATTCTTGCCCAAAGATTGATAGTATATATAAACACTAGGGCCTGGGCTATGTGATCTACACTCTCTGCCTCGGCTATGTAATATAAACTCTCTTTATTACCCACGAGGTCAACGTATGGGTAGTTGCATACTAATCTCGTACGTCACACGAGTGTCGTATCGCGTTGACCTGTGTCGTAACGACTTGACCTGAGATTCTAACGATTTGATTTGATAACCGATGGCCTCTCAGTTAGGTCACATTCTGACGTAACAATTTTTTCATTCATAACAAACACGTGAATTCATTCATTCTACAACTTAAATGCATTGTGGGAATGAAAACATTGCGAACGTTGCCGTGTCGCTGTTTATTTGGGAGTCGAACTGAGACATTATATCCGTCGAAAAACATAAACGCAATGTTTCCACCAGTGATGTTAGCCGAGTGAAGCAACTGGAAACCAAGAAACGAGGTGCTACGGAGTAGTTTATTGTAGGAGGCTGTACGAGGCGATGACAACTGACATGCATCGTGACGTCGGTTACCAAGGCAGTGACGTCATTACAGTGTGACGTCATGCAAATATTGTACTACAGTACAAAACTCTTCCGCAACCTCTTTATGAAACCGGTTTCGGTTTGAAACCAAAAACATAACCAAAATACGCTATTTTGTCAATTTAATGCATGTAAGACGTGGGTAATAAATAAAATACCACACTCGGTCTCATTACATACGAATTATTTCGCTCGGTCAGATACCATAGGAAGGACACTCGTTTCGTATAATTCGTATGTAATGAGACCTCGTGTAGTATTCTCTATGTATCGGATATGTAGTATAAACTCACTGTATCGGTTGTGTAGTATAAACTCTGCATTGGGTGTGTAGTATAAACTCTCTACCTGGGCTAAGTGATATAAAGTCCGTGCCTTCGCGTGTAATATAAACTTTCTGTTTCAGATATGTAATATTGGATTTGTAATATAAACACTCTACCTCGTATATGCAATACAAACCATCTGCATTGGATGTGTAACAAGTAATAAGGGCTAAATCTAAAATCAACAATAAGTCATTGGTTACATTCGTGTTGAGATGTTAACATTTTGTATGACAACTCACAGGATATTTCAATCATCCAAAACAACTTGCTGTCAGGCTGTTTGGGTTCAAATGAGAACGATGAATGATTACATAACTCGAAATAGGGATCAGTGCCCAAAACATAAATAAGACACATGGTCCTGAAACCTCTGTACCCTACAGGATCTGAAATCTGACGGTTTTACTTCAGCCACTTGTCAGGAAAAACAGCCGGCGCTGTTCCACCAGCCTTTTGTCATTTGAAGGGGGGGGGGGGTCACACTTTTGAGAAAAGGAGGGGTGCACATTTCAATTTTACCAGAGTTTCAATGGCCTTTTAATACACTTTCAGGGCAAAAGGGGGGTCTGCACCCCCGTCTGGATCCGCCTATGGGGGTTCTGTTGGAAATGCGGTGCTATTTTCAGTTCACTGTTATAAAACATTGTTTCTGTGAAAAATATACGATTTATACTATTTAAACTCAGAAGACAATAATTAAAGACGACGAACTTGTCTAAGGAACATTGTGGCGTCATTTTTTTTTTAAATAATTAAAAAACGCTTCAGGGAAAAATATCCCACCTGGAATATTTAATGCACGGTCCGTCAGTTGATCGCTGGGCTTATTATTATTCATTGACGACTATGTATTTTCCCTTATGAGTATATGCATATATTACGTATTAAATCGCCTGCGTAGGTATATGTGATGGGGGACCGTTGGTTAAAAGGTTGGTTATTTGCATGTAAGGATTTGTAAGGCAGACCGTCCTCTGATGCTCGAAGAGTGACATTGGTTAACATGTCTACATGTTGTCACCGTCGTTATTTAATTAACACTAATAAACAGTTTCAGATCAATACAGAAATGCATTTCTTTCTTATCGAACCAGTGTTGGATTGATTGATTCTTTATTGTTTAATACCACACTCAGCAATATTCCAGCTATATGGCGGCGGTCTGTAAATAATCGAGTCTGGACCAGACAAACCAGTGGTCAACAGCATGAACATCGATCTACGGAACTGGAATCCGATGGCATGTGTCAACCAAGTCAGCGAGCCTGACCACCGGATCCCGTTAGTCGCCTCTTACGACAAGCATGGGTTACTGAAGATCAATATTCTAACCCGGACCTTCACAGGTCCAACCGGTGGTGGAACTGCAATGGAGTGGCCCAATTTGGAGGTAAGGTTTAGATTTTCTTCACACTAAAACTATTGAATCTGATGAGGTGTATGTATAGGATGTACAACAGCCCTTGCATTTCATACAGAGAAACCTCCTTTTAATAGATCACAATGACATCGTACGGTTTAACACAATATCCAACCATATAGATCATACATTCCAATGTTTAGACACTTGAAGAGTTTTCCGGAACGGGCGTTGTCGAAATAGAAGGGTTGGGGTGGATTGTTGTTTAACGCCGTACTCAGCAATGTTTCAGCCATACGGCGGCGGTCTGTAAATAACTGAGTATGGACCAGCCAATCCAGGGATCAACAGCATGAGCATCGATCTACGCAATTGGAATACGATGACATGTGTCAACCAAGTCAACCGATCCTGTTAGTCGCCTCTTACGACAAGCATGGGTTACTGAAGACCAATTCTAACCCGGATCTCCATGGATGGAACAGAAGGGATCCGGATATAAAAGGTTCCACTGTAATGAAATTTCATCAGTTCACACGCTGACTTTGTTCTGAACGTCCGAATGTAAATACTGGATACATATTTACCGCTTCAATTTACGCCACAACAGGGTTTAAGCTACTTTAGCTACTTAGGTCCAGCTACCAAGTCTCTGCGCTCAATCGGAACAATCGCATTATACAATGTCTATATATTAGGACAATACTTATCCAGCCATGAGGAATTACTGCCGTGATTACCTGTCTCGACCGTATGAATATTCATGGCCAAGAACCCCGGCCACAAGGGGCGCATAATCCTCCCTGACAAATTGGAGTCGTTTATTATAGTCAGCAGTTATCATTTGAGAAAGCAAACAGTCCATTGATCGTAACAGCCCATAACTTTATCTTGGCACATTTCTAGGCAAAGTATTATCAGATAACTCCAACCATGTACCTACATCACAGATGACCTTGAGGAAAACATTTTCTCTCGAGTGACGATATTGTGTAACAATACTATGATCGTTACAAATATAGAAATATATTCCTGTTGTCATAGAAACTATTCATAATTTATTTTTGGTTTTATTCTGTATTTCACCGGATATGTATGCTTCAAATAATTGATTTACATACGAATGTGTGATATCGCAGGATATCTCACAGGACTCAGCAAAACTTTCTGTAAATACAAGCAATATTTTCCTTTCCATGATAAATGAATGTGTGCTACTTCCAAAGTCTACTATTTGATTCCGCCCTTAGCGTATTTGTTCATGAATCACAGTGGCATTATTTGATATGTCACGAGTACCAACTTCTCAAATAAGTAATGTAGTGATACTAAAACAGTGAATATGGTATATGAAACCCTCTGAGAAGGAAAAACAACAAGCTTTACATTGCTTTGAATAACAGCGGGCTGGATAGAATGATTTTAATCTAAGTCTGTTTCCTGTTTTTAACGTGTGCATTCTGCAGATGAACTTCCTTTTACAAACAAACATTACCCGCAGAAGACTGCAGGTTCATCTTAAATAATAATAATAATGTGTCCATTTATATAGCGCCAAACTCCACATTAGGTATGTTCATAGCGCTAACAATCAAGGCACAACACATTATTACCCCGGATAACCCAAGCTGCCTGTTAGGCGCTAGAAGGTTATAGTCATATGACTTTCCACCGGGTACCCATTTTCCTGCTGGGTGAACAGAGACAATTTTGAACAAACTCACTTGCCTAAGGTGAGACAACATGTGTCACATGTGCTTCATAGGTGCAACACTGCCGATGCGGTTCATATTTAGTCAGTTATACCAGGGAGAATAGAAGATGCTGTATCCCTGATTATACCCTGGACAGCTTCACGTCTTGGAATACATATGCATTGGAAGGTAGTCGAGTGGATAAAGCGTTGTCAATAAGCTAATTAGACGAGTTCTTCTTTCAACAACGATGGGTTTCTACCCTATTTATGGTTATCTCTCACTGTTGTGCCAGTGATCTCACACAAAAGAGCAATGAGACCAGAGGATCTCACAAATTGTACTTACATTTCAACACAACATCAATACAAGTTAACTAAGAATTAATTAAATAGTTTTGTCAGTTGATATCTTGCAAAGCTGTGAATAATTTCATTTTAAAGTTTCAAGGCCGTTTCAGGTAAAACTAGGTGATGTGCATAAGAGGGCGGTTATGATTATGATGTGTATAAGAACAATACCAGGCGGATACACCAAGAACGAATTTTTACATCATGTACACGCTTCACATTGGTGCATGAGTGAGTAAGTGAGTGGGTCTAACTTGTAACAACATTACAATTCAGTTCAAGTGGGAGAAGAGCCCGAATCCCCTGTCAGGGATCTTTCAATATGTTGATTGCAGAATGGACACACTGGAGTGAGTGCGTGAGTGAGGTTTTACACCGCATTTAGCAATATTCCAGCAATATCACGAAGAGGGACACCTGAAATCGGCTTCATTGTACGCATGAGGGGAATCGAACCCGGGTCTTCGGTGTGATGAGCAAACGCTTTAACCGCTTGGCTACCCTACCGCCCCAGGACACACAGTAACTTGTCCGAGGAATCTTTAGTTATTGAATATCAAATATAATGATGTACGCCTATCCGTCAGTTTACGATTTGTTGAGTTTGCTTGAAGTGGTACTCAGCTCTATTCCAGCTACATTACCGCCATATAGCTGGGATATTGCTGAGTGCGGCGCAAAACTAACTCACTCACTCACTAAAACTCCAGCTACATGACGGCGGCCTTATAAATGCCACCAATAACAACTCCTAGATCTTGACTACTATTGGACACCGGTCTTACAGTACACATCCTGGGGCGGTGGGGTAGCCTAGTGGTTAAAGCGTTGGCTCGTCACGCCGAAGACCCGGGTTCGATTCCCCACATGGGCACAATGTGTTAAGCCCATTACTGGTGTCCCCCGCCGTGATATTGCTGGAATTGTGCTAAAAGCGGCGTAAATCTAAACTCAGTCAGTCAGTCAGTACACATCCTCTATAGATCTGTTCTGGTGTTCCTGTTCTGACAGTGTCTGGTGGTGTGTTCTTGGCAACTTATTACATTAATTTCTACCATTGCAATTATCGCTCTTGTGAAATGATCAATGCCTCTTCCCCACTTAAATAAACTGTTAAGTGTGTTCAGTTTATTTTAAACAGTTTGTAAACAAAAATAAGGGTCGTGGTGTTTGATTGTGTTATCTGTTGTTGACCGCGTGTGTCATTGTTTAATGAATCTTAGCATCGACCCTAGCACGTGCCCTTGCAATAACTCATTAGTGATAGATGATGAATGACTTAATGGTCGTGCGAGCACTGACAAGTTGTAATGCATGTCTAACGTGATAATCAACAATGTATAACAGGAACTTAAGGTGCGCTCTTTCGCAAGAAGCATGATTGTCAACGAATCTTGTCTCCTCATATGTTGTTCCATGCTGTATTGATCAGGGGGAGCAGTTGCCCTGGCGGTGAAATGCCGAGGTGGTGGTGTGGTCTATGTGTGTATGTGAGTGCGTGTGCGTGTGTGTGTGTGTGTGTGTGTGTGTGTGTGTGTGTGTGTGTGTGTGTGTGTGTGTCTGTGTGTGTGTGTGTCTGTGTGTCTGTCTGCAAGTGAGTGTCTGTGTGGAAGGGTTTATTATATGTGTGTGAGCGTGTGTGTGAATGCCTGTGTATGGGGTGTTGGTTTTGTGTGTGTGTGTGTGTGTGTGTGTGTGAGCGCGCGCGCGCGTGCGTGTACGTGCGTGTGTATTTGAGTCTGTGTGCGTGTGTTATATAACGGCGTGTCTGTGCCTGGTGGTGTATTTCAGAAAAAAAATATGTATAGGCCATAGGCCCAGGTTACACATTGAGAGTTACAGAGTGAGAAAGTATGTTATAATGAACACTGTCTCAGTAAGATAGCTTAATTATATGCGTATTAAATGTTTGGATTGTTGGGTATTCATAAAATTGTAAAGGCCGCAATGCTTCATATTTATTACAAATAAGTCAGAAATGTTATTCATCTTCTACATATGGCAGTTTACAGATGTTACATACATATATGTATTCTGTCGTTCTATTCATAGTTTATGATACCCCGATCTAAACTGAGCAAGAGCACGTCTATGTTTAAAATAGCTGACTGTGAAGATATAAGATTCAACACCGAACATAGGTTTAAACAACGAGTATCCAAATGTGTTTATGCCTTTATTAGTGCAGAATGCCAGTCTTGTTGATACGGAACTTTGAGTCAGCTAGAAATTCATTTGTCATGTAGGAGGCAAGTTCAAAGTGCATATCTCCAACATATACGTATACCACTCAACTGAATGGTGCTGACAATGGAGGAAACACAACAGATGCTAACTGGGATTCGAACTGTCCTTGGATACTCAACGGACGCAATTCTGCAGATCAAATTGCCGCGCCTTAGACGACTTGGCCACCCTTGCAGCCAAAAATAACATTTGAGACAATACGAGCATAGGTTAACTGATAAACAGCGACTCTTGGATTCAAACTAACATCCAGTGGATTCAGTAACTGCTGGGCACAAGTCGTCCTAGCATGTAACTGCATGTTAAACAATAGAATCGCTTGGCTCGGTTTTATCATCAGTTTAAAATACTACGATGAATTTAAGCAAGGTTCATTTATCACATGACAGCTATTCATTTGTTTGGGTAGGATACGTAGTTGGTAGGATACGTATACGAACATGACTATGACACTGACATTATTACAGTTAGTAAACCCTTCGTGGGGCTATGGACGTCTCTGAAAACTCAAAGACAAATATGAAAGAAAAAATGTTGATATTCCGGGATGGAGCGTAGGCTCTATAAACCTTCAGCTGGGTGCACCCATGATGTTACTTAACAGAAAATAGTCATGCACAGATCTCTCCACAGGTTGTAAGACATGAAATGAAGAAAATGTGTATTTTGCCACATTCAACATACAAGCAAGTCTAAGTTTCCAGAACACAAAGACCCAGTGAAACCTCCGAATGGACTAGACAGTAGGCCGAAGATTGAAAGTGGAAAGCTAAACGTGCGAATCCATTTCATGTAGTAAATCATTCACGACAGAATCGATGATTTTGAACTAACATGTTAGTAACGCCAGGACTCAGAAGTCAGGATTCAGACAGTGAAACCGATACTGGAATTAGACAGTTAGAGGCATAATTGACAATGGACAAGGTCCACACACAGGGACACTATTGGTGTTGACGGACAGTGACACTGGTACTGGAATTAGACAGTTAGAGGCATAATTGACAATGGACAAGGTCCACACACAGGGACACTATTGGTGTTGACGGACAGTGACACTGGTACTGGAATTAGACAGTTAGAGGCATAATTGACAATAGACACGGTCCACACACAGGGACACTATTGGTGGTGACAGACAGTGACACTGGTACTGGACAGGCACAGGAACATTTGAGTTAAGCTCCTGATACAGACAATAGTTTCTGGACACCTACTGTGACAGTGATAATTGAAAGGGACGTCCCTATACATGTTGTGTTAGATAGCACTGGTCCTAAACACTTATACACAAACAATAGCACTGGTCCTAAACACTATACACAGGCAATAGCACTGTTTCTGAATACTATACACAGACAATAGCACTGGTCCTAAACACTATACACAGGCAATAGCACTGTTTCTGAATACTATACACAGATAATAGCACTGGTCCTAAACACTATACACAGACAATAGCACTGGTCCTGAATACTATACACAGACAATAGCACTGGTCCTAAACACTATACACAGACAATAGCACTGGTCCTAAACACTATACACAGACAATAGCACTGTTCCTGAATACTATACACAGGCAATAGCACTGGTCCTAAACACTGTACACAGGCAATAGCACTGTATCTGAAAGACTATACACAGATAACAGCACTGGTCCTAAACACTATACACAGACAATAGCACTGGTCCTGAATACTATACACAGACAATAGCACTGGTCCTAAACACTATACACAGGCAATAGCACAATACACAGATAGCACTGGTCCTAAACACTATACACAAACAATAGCACTGGTCCTAAACACTATACACTATGGTCCTAAACACTATACACAAACAATAGCACTGGTCCTAAACACTATACACAAATAGCACTGGTCCAATAGCACTGGTCCTAAACACTTATACACAAACAATAGCACTGGTCCTAAACACTATACACAGACAACACAGACAATAGCACTGGTCCTAAACACTATACACAGCCAATAGCACTGGTCCTAAACACTATACACAGACAATAGCACTGGTCCTAAACACTATACACAGCCAATAGCACTGGTCCTAAACACTATACACAGACAATAGCACTGGTCCTAAACACTATACACAGACAATAGCACTGGTCCTAAACACTATACACAGACAATAGCACTGGTCCTAAACACTATACACAAACAATAGCACTGGTCCTAAACACTATACACAAACAATAGCACTGGTCCTAACACACACTAGCACTATACACAAACAATAGCACTGGTCCTAAACACTATACACAAACAATAATAGCACTGGTCCTAAACACTATACACAAACAATAGCACTGGTCCTAAACACACTTATACACAGATAATAGCACTGGTCCTAAACACTATACACAGGCAATAGCACTGGTCCTAAACACTATACACAGCCAATACACTGGTCCTACACACAGACAATAGCACTGGTCCTAAACCTAAACACTTAATACACAGACAATAGCACTGGTCCTAAACACTATACACAGGCAATAGCACTGGTCCTAAACACTATACACAAACAATAGCACTGGTCCTAAACACTTATACACAGACAATAGCACTGGTCCTAAACACTATACACAGACAATAGCACTGGTCCTAAACACTATACACAGACAATAGCACTGGTCCTAAACACTATACACAAACAATAGCACTGGTCCTAAACACTTATACACAGACAATAGCACTGGTCCTAAACACTATACACAGGCAATAGCACTGGTCCTAAACACTATACACAGCCAATAGCACTGGTCCTAAACACTATACACAGGCAATAGCACTGGTCCTAAACACTATACACAGACAATAGCACTGGTCCTAAACACTATACACAGAAAACCAAATCACTGACATAAATCATAGTCCGAAATACAAGTAAAGAACAGTGACACCGGTATTGATCACCACTCACAGACAATGACAGTAGTCACAGACAATGCCGTCAGTCCCAACACTAATCACGGACACTGGCATAGGTATTAATTACAGATCACGTTCAATGATTCAAGTCACACAAAATGCTACTTGTCCTAAACACACGCAAAACCATGGACAGTCGTTATGAATAAGCAGCAAAGCCTATCCATAATCATAAACATTGTATCTAAAGGCAGTTAACTGTAAAATTCAGACTGTCATGAACATGTCGCTGTAACATAGTGGGGATACCAGGTGTTCGAGAAAATTCCTGCCCCAGTGATAGCGCTCGTCACACACGCAACGGCAAGTACAAATAGAGAATTGGTATTGTTACTGATGGGATATAATTTCGAAATTTCAATTTTTAGACAGCTAAGAAGTATGATAATACCTTTGTTGTGAAAAGTTGTGCAATGTTGACGTAAAGGTTTGAACTGTTGGAATTTTGCACATCGACTATAGGAATCTTGCAGTAGAAACAACAAAACCTTTTTCCACTTTCCTAAGAAATCTCTGCTAAAATGCATAGTCGATTGTACAACTTTATTGTGAGTATGTGTTTGTTTCAGCAGTATTACAGCTCTACGTCGCGGTCTGTTAACAAACGGGTCTGGAACAGACCATCCGTGGATTGCCACCACGAGATATAATGACAGAACATGTGTTTATGAATCAATATCAAATAGTGATGATACCAGATGTTCGCGAAAATGTGAGCATGTCCTGCTCCAGCTATTGCACCTGTCATAAACATAATCATAAGGTTTCTACTGTTCACTTGAAACGACAGAGAACGTTTGGTACAAGTCAAATAGAGAATTGCACCGGACATCACTTTGTCACTGATGTATCAAATTTTGTCATCCCACTTAACATACAATTGTGTCCAAGATTTTTTGTGCATAGGTTGACACACAGTTTGTACCAATGGTCTAATTTTTCTCCTTGAACTGGTAAATCAGTAGAGCATCGGCTTCCCATGATGCAGATATTCACATGTCCGACCCACGATACACAGACAACACCTGTTCTCACCAATACCATATTACACATCCACTTATTCATATTCTGTGACATACACCCCAGACCTCATCACATATGTCTGTAATTTCAACAGACCTTCGTAGACAGAGATGACTAAACACAAAACAAATCGATCATAGACGTCATACATACTGTTATATCACTGTCGTAAGATCATCCATGATTACAGCAATGCATGATTCATAACTCACTGGCTATTCACACTGACCCGGTTAGCAATCTCTTGTATGTGTAGTCGATATATAAAGCCATCAAATTCCAAATATGGTACGCTGTGGTCAATCAGAGTGTCCTTCGTCACAACTCTCTACGCTGCATTAAATTCACATCTCCCATTATCATCATCATCATGGTTTTACATTTAATGGTGTCATTTTTCCACTATTTGAACAGTTTTGTGAACGTATTTTCGCAAGAAGAATATTCCACTGCAATAGACAAAACTTTTTTCTTTTTCTTTTTCTTTTTTTTGGGGGCTGGGGTGGGGGTGGGGGTGGGGGGATCGTTTGAAAGTTAAAAGCAGTTTGGTTTTAAAGGCTGTCTGGTTTCTGATAATCGGTTTATGCAAGACTTCATTCAAAGTTGTAATAAGGTCCTCATGAGTTTCTCGACCCTAGTAAATCTGTAATGCCCGGATCAGGGATTTCTCATTATAAGCTGTGGGTCTTGGGGCCGTTGGATAGCCTACAGAGATCGCTCGTCAACACGAAGGTCCGTGTTAGATTAGCCACTGTCAACAACCATTTCTAATGTCCCCTCCGTTAAGTTCCTGGAATATTGCTCAAAGCGGCGTGAAACTATATTCACTCCTTGAGCTTCACATATAGAAAATAAAAAAGTCGCACTTTTTTTCCATGAAATTGTATCTTGATCTAATTATATTTACTACTCTACAAATCGTCACTGTCAATTTCAGCAATATTTCAATTTTAAATTCAAGCTATTAACATAAAGTATCATCGTTGACCTAAATACATCCAGCCGTTGAAGACATTGTTCTTTATATTTGGTTGACATACCAGACAATGATATATCGTTACGTCTCCAGTTCCTCTCTGGTATGAATGTATGTGAGAGAATGAACTTTGTCGCTTACAGTTACCATCACCATGATTCCCATTTGGTCGGTTATGTGCTTATCAAGTTACTGCTCATAATATACGATTTATACTCTGGAATGTGTTCATTTTGACACATATATGTAGTCACGAGTATAAACCAGTGTAAATTTATAAACAGTAATGATACTATAGAATTTGGAAAACAAATCTCCATATTGCACATTAAGTATCAATACAGGCTTATCTGTTACTAAAGAAACCATTGTTCAATAATGCATGTTTCTTTGCATTATGGTCTACTGTTCCATTTCTAAAAGATCATTTCTATGATGGCAATGTTTACGTTCAAGAACATGTGGTCAATGTCCCACCTGGATTGCATGCGTACATATACTGCGCAACATATAACTCTGGTTTTTCTTTGTGTAATTGGGTAATCCTGAAATATCTATGTATGCATGTCACAATCTGGCATACAAATACTTTTTAATTGTTTGAATCCAATATTTGATTGGGCTGTTGATGGATCAGAGCCGTTTAACTCTTCAATACATAAAAGCGACAACACGCTTTCAACAGTTAAGAAATCCCTGCCCAGAGCAGAGTCCACGAAGTTGACTACAAAAAAACTATTCATCGTTTCATCCACTAACTCGACCATGTATAATCTCGTTACCTTTAGGGCCGGGGGGACCTCGCATGCTGTTGTAACTCCGGAGATTTTCTGCCACTAATCCTGGGTCAGGAGTGTCGCCTTTGACCCCGGGGTCGCCCTTCCTGCCAGGGAGACCTACGTGCAAACATAATCAATGGCAGAGTGAGTGGTGTCCAATATTACAATGTGCATTATAATATGTACATATACAAGTGTCTGTCGTCACAGCAGCTATCAATAAACCATCAAACATCAGTAATGCATGAACAAAGGTTTGTCCTTCAAAGTGCAAATGTACTACATCTAAGCATCGATTTTATTCAGGTGGTATGAGTGTAAGCCTGAGACTGCGAAACCCAGTAATTACGTTCTTCTATCTTTGTTGGCTTATAGGTTTGTTATCGACACAATCAGTCGAAATATCCATCCAACTTGAATCTAACATTTCGTTGCCCCAAACCGAATATTTACATGTATGCATATTTCAATCATTACAGTTGAAGTTCAGCCACTGGTCCAACAACACGACACATGCATGGGATTAGTACAGCAATGGGTACAGATGCAAAAGATGAATAATAATATAGACTGCAGTTTACATAATATTTATTGTGAATGAATCAAAAGACTTAATTACTCTGTGTAGTTGTGCATATTATGGATATGGAATCGCTGCTGAATATATTCTTACGGAAATATCCAAATATTCCCGGAATAACAGGGTTTAGACCAATTATGGGGTTTCACAGTACTCCACGACAACAAAAGTGATTCCACACATTGAAACTGCTTCGTTCTATTACCAAGATGATTTGACAATGTCCATACTCAGCACGGATCTATGTTAAAGCAAGGGAAAGCATTTACCGCAATTGTCCATAACCCTGAACATGTACAGTTTTATGACCGACATGACCAGTCATGTCTCTTCCCAAAAAGAATCGATACCGACAATATAAAATCTACAGCACTACTTATTCTCAAATTTGAAATAAGTACAGTTTGTCTCTGACACAAACTGAAAATGCTCCTACCAAACAAGAATGTATAAAATACCTACCAATTCCTGACTCGCAATAAACCTCAAACAATTAGAGCTTTCATATTATGAGATACCACTGTTTCAACCAAACATGAAACAAAGGACTTCACATTTTTTATTCCAGACTTTTGACTTTTGTTAAAGAGACGACGATATGGTTACAATGAATGTAAATGTCACCTCCATCTTATCTGGGCCGTTAGACAAATGTCCATTAAGAATGGCATTGACGTTTACTTCAAGGCAGGGTGAGTGGCACTGAACTGCTGGGCGAAAGACTGAATACAACACACTCGTTCTCACTAATAAAATTGCTGTCCGCCCTGATCAGATCAAATACTTATGAAAGTTGATTGGATAAGTTACCATATTTTAACAGGGTACAGTCAAACTTAACTGAGTTAATAGTATGGGCTGAAGTTTCAGTTTACGCATAAACTAGTTTACGAGAAGATATGTTTCAGGAGGACTCAGCTGTAGCTTTTCGTAAACGATACATACGTTACTCCGGGATATAATGTGATGGTTGAGGTTATATTTTATTGATACAGTGGTGTGAACTGGTTTAAAGGTTTCAGAACTACCCTAGTTCCCATTTTCCTCACAGCATTTTGTTGAACATGCGGTGTTAAAGTAAGCTGATTGTGCATTATGCCTTCTGTTAAGATGTTTGCAAGTGATACCTACGGTACTATGTCTGAAAGCATATCCAATGCGGCATGTATATTTTGTTATCTGAACTAATCTCTTGTCAGGGACAGTGATTAATTTAATTGTTTTTACATTTTCATAATTACTTCTGTTTCTGATAAAATTCGAGTTTTGTTTTTATTCACACTTAAAAGCAAGTGAAAAATGATAGTCATTGCTAAATGTATGGTAAAGTGACTGATAAGGGTAGTGCCACCACTGTATTTAAGTCAAAGTGTCTTCTTAAATGCCATTTGTAAAGGCCATATTACTGTTTAAAATTGATAATTTATTTATGTTGCTTAAAATTTAAACTTACCTACCTTTTGATATAGTCTGTAAAGACCACAATGTCTAAAGTGTAATGTTACATTTTGTTTCTGGCAATAAAACATTAATCTGTCGATATGTCTGTAATTGTAATCAGAGACAACACTCTTCTGTTGTGTGAATTGAATGAAATGTCAGGGAAAGTATATTAAGTCGCTTTAGTGATCTACCAAAATTAATTGATTTGATTTTTTAAAGACAATATAACCATTACTTCCGTGAGTACATATAAACAGTTTCAACGCCAGTCGGGTTTAAGCACATAGCAAACATAATATATTTGATGAAGGCGCCATTGAAAACCTGTAACGTAGGTATCTGAGAGATTGTTTCAGCCAGATGGGTCCTTTATTCACAACATCACAGCATCTTCAACGTAGAACTGGTGTGGTGCAAACTTTGGGAAATCATACTTCATATGGTCCTTTATCAGAAATCCAAACCAATTCAAGTCAACTGAAAAGTAAATTTTGCACTTTTTTTTAGAATGCGTTTGCACCTTATTAGTGAGAACGGGTGGACAATTCACACTTCGCCCTTCTGAATACTGTGTACTGTGGAAATACGAATCCTATGTTACCTTAGACATCATGTGCATGTCACCTGTCATGAAATAATCATTGACAGTTATCAAATGCATCCATCACATCGAATACTCAATTCCTGTTTGTGTCATTTTTAGCAACCATTAAATAGTGGCGTACGCTTTCTTTTGCCCTGTAGTGCCTGATCTCGAAGATGATAATGTACACAGATAATATCTAACATAAATTAATATATTTTTTAATAAATGCATGTGACTTGCACCTGGAGCCCCCGAATCCCCCTTTTCGCCTCTGGATCCAGGAACGCCGGGCGGACCTGGAAATAGATACAAGCATTATATAGTCCGTATCTTTATGCATCAACATCAATGGTTTCGCATATCTTCATTGTCTCTAATCTTCCATTGTTCATATTTTGTACACGACATCTACTCGGAAGTGCCCTAGATTTTTGGCCTGTCTTTACATATTCTCAACGTATTGTTGTTGGGTTTTTTCCATCTCAGACATTAGTTGTAATATTGTTAACATTAGCAGAATACTGCGTGTTCACATAAATCACTTTGAATGTGTGAAAAGGTCACCGGGAGGTCACTTTTAACTAAATATCTGACTTTTTATTCACGATTTGCGTTTATGGATATATTTTTTATTTATATAGCAGTAAACCGAAACACATAATGAAGTCGATTTTTAAAAACATATATATATCAGCTTTATAACTTCCACACTACGTATTTTATCATAAACACAAGAAGAACTGCAGACAACAAAATGAAATCGGTGACATCGTTACACACAATAACGTGCAACAGGCCCCGCCAAGGCCACCAGCCAATCAGGAAACAGCAGCTTTTTTCCAGGCGTGGCTTATGTTATTAATTATTAACTTAAACGCGAAAGAATTTCTAGCCTTTAAATTGCCACGGAATCGCACGCAATGATTTCCAAATTATGTAAAAAGTATGAAAAAACACCAACCAAAAATATGTATCTTAACTGACTAAATTACCTTTAATTCACATCTTCGCCTACATCGAAAAACTACTGCAGTATTTTCGTAAAATCGTGATTCGTTACAAGCATTTCGACTACAATATACAGACGGACTGTGGCCTAGACTAAAAAAATCAGTTTGTTTTATCAGTTCGTTATAAGTGTGTTCGACAAAAACGTAGTTTACTGTACTCCATTATGAATCATGGTTTACATTCTATACGTCACACGTGCAATGAGCAAACAAAGGAAACCAATATCGATTACTATTTTAATCTTGAAATTAAAAATTGAATTACATGTTTTTGCCTAGTCTATAGTAATATACATTTGAAATGGTCATAAAATTGTCATCTATTGACAGAATGTTAGGCACACATTCTCCTGGCAATGCAGTTACTTTAAAAAACATCAAGTAATATAACATATACCTGGTTGTCCCTGTGCAGAGCAATACTCCTTCGCATCGCGGCAGTAAGAATGTAAGGCCACCAACTGGAAGATAAAAATAAACAAATTGGTCTACATGTAGACACTGATATGCATTATATCTATAATTGATACACTGGAGCCTCTCCTCCTCAGCAGGGTAGATAGTTACATATGCATTAAGCTACTGGTGTGCACAGGATGAGATAATGATGCCATAAGTGATGGCAACCATTGCCGCGTGGGATGTATGTTTTGTATTGGTAACAGCTTCTCATAATGCATGAGGTGGTTCATCCTTTGTTAAACTCTTTGTTAAAATAACGGAGTCATGTGTAAAATGAAATATGAATGTATATGTATGCAACACCTTGGATGCTTAAGCAATGTACACAAGGTATGTAATTCGAGGATAACGTTATGCTTCAGAGCATTCATTAACAGAAGCCTGAGATGTGGTTTAACTGCCTGACAAAGCGGGGCAATGGATCAGACCGAGGGCTCCAGCACACCATAATACCCTCACACATTGGGTTACCGTCTAAACCAACCTGGATACAATTTGTAGCTAATCCCAAAATGAAAAAAACAGCAATCAGCAGCTTAGGGTTAGTCGTTGCAATAAAACCTTCACAAATATGACAGATTTGCAAATAGCAACGTCATAGAACATCACATTGAATGGAGTCACCAACATTAGAATAATGGCATAAATGAAAACACATTTGTTTCATAAAAGCTGTGTGATACATACCGGATCCTTAGCCCTCTGAGAGTGCATGTGAAGAGAAAGAGGAGTCAGTCATACAAAGAGTCATAAAATTCGTTGTTCATTTCTCTAGTTCATCATTTATTGCCGGAGGAAAAAATACTTGACTCTAGCTGACAAGGTCTTGGTCTTTGATTTACGACCCACATACCCATACTCCATGTAATATGGAGAGTGAGTGAGTTTAGCTTTACGCCGCACTCAGCAATATATATATCCAGCTATATGGCGGCGGTCTGTAAATAATCCAGTCTGGACCAGACAATCCACTGATCAACAGCATGAGCATCGATCTACGCAGCTGGAATACGATGACATGGGTCAACAAAGTCAGCGAGCCTCACCACCCGATCCTGTTAGTCGCCTCTTACGACAAGCATGGGTTACTGAAGATCAGTTCTAACCCGGGTTAATATGGAGAGAGACATTGGCTTTCCATTACATGTATTCCTATGTGTGAAGCCCATTTCTGGTGTCCCCCGCCGTGATATAGCTGGAATATTATCAAAAGGGGCGTAAAACTGAACTCACTCACTCACTACATGTATGCTTGGAAAAATCTAAAAATCCAGTCTTGTGTTAATAATATACTAAACTTTCACCCAATTATCATCATATGTTTTATGTTTATGAACAAATATTTTTCCAAATATATTTTGTTGTCAGTCACAATAACTCCGAACAAGCTGACATCTTGTGCAGACATTCGCATCTTTTGTAAGGATATTTTAATATCCAGAGAAGAAGTATGTTGCATGTAAAAATACATTTTTCAAATCACAATTAGTAATCCTGTAATAATTACAAGCATGTCTAAACCTTTTAGTTAGAATTGCTAATTGAAAATTAAACTCACACTCTCCACAGGTGTTCACTCAGATAATTGTAAATAAAATTTAAGTTAACACATGCGTCATGATGATTCACAGCCAATGTCTTCCGATTCCAACACTCATTGTTGATAAAGAAAAATTCATTCATTTTTTTAATATTGTTTTGTCATATGATATAACGGCTTTGTGAATATAACCTCGTTTAATTTGGAAGCATCACGTGCTCGCTGATAATTATCAGCGACAAGATGGAAGAAACCCTTTATAACAGCTGATGGAAACCCGGCTCTCTTGGTAAACAACATGACTCTAAGTAGATAACATGATAGCGGCACTGAACTATCAGTGTCACGGGTCTCTATCCTTGAAGGAAGATTAATCTGAACAGCCACAGCATCATTGACATGTTGATCTGTGTAGCACTGCACTGGTTGTAATGAATTCATTTGATTCATTTTCCGTGTACGTGCAGAATGTATTCTAATTTAACGCATTGGTTTTTTGTATTTACTTTTGGAACTTATGTTGCTCTCTCATGTCAAACACATTAACTACATTTGTGAACTGTGTCAAGGCGATCTTGATGAGGTCATGCGCAATACCACTGCAATAAATGACGTAAAACTTCACTCGCATCATCAACAATTTCCTTTGATCTTTCAAAGTTAAGTAATTGTTATGGAGTGTTCGCACAGTTTGAAAATTAATCTAATTGATCACCATGCGATCCGATTTTGATGCTTTAACTGAAATGACCTAAATGGATTATTTTTCGTCAGTTTGACGATTGAGATAACCAAGCACAAATAGTATGCACAGCGTTCGAAATTAACGTCGGTCCTTAGGCCCGAAGGCGACTGAAAACCACTCGGATCCAGCTTTTGTTTTCTGCAGGTCCTTATGGCCGACGACGTTTTCATCCCCAATAACTAAGAGTATTATTTTTCAGAAAATATCATTCCGTAATTTCTAGTTTTCGAAATGAAACTGTTTTACTCAGTTTGTTCGTTGTCACATTTTTTGTCATGAATTATTAATATTGTTGCTAAAATATAGCGCCTATCCATTCTGATCAGGGCCCACACCTTTTTATGGTTCTGGGTCCTTAGGGCCTGCAGCTATTCAGGGTTAAGGGCAAACACTGGGTATGCACCCTGTACTACAGTGAGTGAGTGAGTGTAAAACCGCTTTGAAAAGTATTTCAATTCTATCACCACACGCCATCTTAAAGTCGAAGAAACACTGGAAGTGATGCAGGTAGAAATTCGTTTCCTTTTTACTGAAACTCAGGAGTTATGCTATGATGCTGACAACATAAAGATAACCGGCATTTTGAATTCTGGCACGTCCAAGGGACGCAACTCTGCACAACGTATTGAAATATTTTCGATTGCAGCGCCACCAGCTCCCTCGATACAAGACTGACATGATTTAATTATATCTGAACCAAGGAGTGCAAACTGCCTATGTTGTCTAGGCTATAATATTTCGGTCCTTCAATGCAGTTTACGCTTCTCTGACAGTGCACGGAAAGACTTCTACATCATTAGAGCATCTGCATGCTCATTAGGAGAGGCCATTACATCCCAGCAGTATTTTTTCACCTGGGCACATCGGCCAGTGTTGGAAATTTAGGTCCCATATCACTCCAGGTGTCACAAAGACGGAATGATGGCCCTAAATGTCCTTCTTAATTGGGTCTTAAGGGATGTTCTAATATTTTCTTCAGTCTGTGTCTTCCCTAACAACTGTCTGGTGGAACGTCTGTGAACATTTGTTCTGATCAATTTGTTGCAAAATGAGTATTTCTCCAGAACTGACCATTCTTGGGACATCAGTGCAGTGGAATGGGATTCTGTCACGTCATCTTATTGAAAACATTTCATATTCGAGTTGAAATTAGTACAATGCCTACATGCAACTTCTTGAATCACATAGATGGATGTTATTGATGAGATTAAAGAACAAATACAATATGGCATCCCACAGCATCATAATCCCACAGCATCATAATCCCACAGCATCATAATCCCATAGCATCATAATCATGACATATGGTTACACACATGAGTACACAAATGTGATTGGGAAAACATGTAATGATCCTTGGAACGTTTCTCAAGTTTTAAAGCAGGTGAATATCTAATCATTTTCTCAGATTGATGACGATAATCAATAACGTTTTCAAAGTGTTGCCAAGGTACTATAGCTCATTTGATTATACATTTAGTAGTTCAAAATGTCAAATGCAGTTTGAAAGCATAAGACTTTATCGATCCGTTATTCATTGTTACTGTCGGATTTTAATACTAAAGAATGCAGATGTTGTAAACCACTCAGACCAAATATTATTTACTATTGTTAAAATGGAGCCAAATCCCTGTGGCAGGTAGAGAGTACAAAAGTGACACCTTAAAATTCCAAAGGTCGAGATGAGAGTCCTACGTGATAAAATGTTCACAACAAGTCTTATAAATATTTAGAGTTTAATGTTGTTTAACCAATTCTTGAGCATACTTTATGAGATGCATCCTCTGGTAGATTTTTAATGAAGGCTGTATTAACTCCCATTAGTTATACATGTACTTCCATCAACTCCTAAAACCAACCTTGTTTCTCTTCTATTGAAATGGGCAGCTTAATTGTTAAATATAACACTTTCACTTTAATTAACATTAAAATGAGACGCTAAAGAGATGAAACACCAGGAACATTTACTATAAATAATATAAATTCGATTCATTATTGACCACCTTATCATTATTACTTTTCATACCTTCAGAAAATGGAGACGTTGTGGTGCTATTTTACAGATACCACACCCTTACAACGACGTTTTAATAATAATTTGAGAGACGGGCTTTACTCCAGAAAAAGAAATACATCTTCTGTGTCAAAAGCAATGTTCTGCACGATTCCGAGTATACGTACAATGAAATATTGAGCTCGACTGTATATATTATTCAGGTGACAGGCGATATTAGTGAGTCTGGTTGTATTTACCCTATGGCCTCATTACAAATTAAATTATGGTACAAAACACAGAGGCCACATGTCTATGGATTTACATTTAGTACAGTATGTATTTCAAGAGCAGACCTGAAATGGATTACAACCTTAGCTGCTACATACACTTCAAAACTTCATTTAAAATAATACCATATGTCATTTCCATCTTTATATTTTGATCTCATGCCCATGTATGTTGACTAGTATCAAAACTTTTGTTTTGTGAAATTATTAATCGAAACGTTGCATGTTAAACACTTTCTGGTACTTCAGTTATCGCTTTAAAGACACAATACATGTTCGCTTAGTAACTGCAACCAGCAGTTTATATGTAGACGTATGTATTTTGCAGGCACAAACAAAAAGCAGTTTTTTGTACGAAGCTTCCTGCTCTTTGAACGGTATTCGGTGTTACTGTTCATATTGTCCATCGACGTTCACATAAGTATTTTTAT